CTTCGAGCTATATGGCCGGCCCATTGCCACTTCAGCTTACTAATCCGTTGGGCTATGTCGGTTACTCTGGTTCTATTGCGGATATCCTCATTCCTAAGTTTATCACGCAGAGAAACTCCGAGCATAGCCCTCTCCATAGCTCGCTGGGCGACCTTGAGATTCCTCATCCGGCCAGCAGTGAAGGACCACGTCTCAGTTCCGTATGTCATCACTGGCAACACGCACTGGGTGTACAGTCTCGTTTTCAAGGTTTGAGGTATACCTGACGAGAAGATGTGCCGTAATTTCCCGAACGCTGCCCAACCGAGTTGAATCCGTCGATTGACCTCTCGGTCGAAGTTGGACTTACCTAGTCGGACTATTTGTCCCAGGTAAACATACTCGTCAACAACTTCGAGCTTAGTGTTCCCAACAACTACCGGCATAGGTGTGACATGGACATTAAACATGATCTTAGTTTTGTCCATGTTCATCTTAAGACCTATCCGTTGGGAAACACTATTGAGGTCATTGAGCATAGTGCTTAGGTCCTCCAGCGATTCTGCCATAAGGACTATATCGTCGACAAATCGAAGGTGAGTGATGTACTCGCCATTGATGTTGATACCGTATCCTTTCCAGTCCAGAAGCTTGAAAACGTCTTCCAATGCAGCGGTGAAGAGTTTCGGGGGTATGACGTCACCCTGTCTTACACCTCTCTGCAATTGGATAGGTTTCGTACTTTGGTTCTGTACTCGGATAGCCATCGTAGCCCTACTGTACAAGCACTTCAACACTTCGATATACCGACAGTCAACTTGGCACCGCTGAAGGGACTGCAGCACCGCCCAAATTTCGACGGAATCAAAGGCTTTCTCATAGTCCACATACGCCAGACATAGTGGCAAATTGTACTCTTCGGACTTCTGTACAATTTGCCGAAGGGTACGTATGTGGTCTATGGTGCTAAAGCCCTTTCGGAAACCGGCTTGTTCGGGAGGCTGGAAGTCGTCAAGTCTGCGCGCAAGACGATTCGTAATGACTCTCGAAAACAGCACGTAGACGCGGCTCAGAAGGGAAATCGGTCTGTAGTTCTTCAAGAGAGCGTTGTCACCTTTCTTGAAGAACAAGACCACCGCACTTCTGCTCCACGCCTCCGGTGTAATGCCACCATGGAGGACGGAATTAAAGAGCTTCTGAAGGACTTCAAGTACCGGTTTTCCACCCGCTTTCAGAAGCTCCGCTGTAATTCCATCCTCGCCTGGGGCCTTACCGTTTTTAAGGTGCTGGAGAGCCATTCTAATCTCGCTCAGACCGACGTCCGGGATATCTTCGGAATAGTGTCGGATGAGACGCGCTCTTGGATCGTTACTCACACTTGCGTGTGGCTCCAACGATGACGTGTACAACTGCCCATAGAACCTCTCAATGTCACTCAAAATCTCAGGTGTACCGGAAACGATGCTGCCACATTCTGTGTTCAGCTTTGACAGTTGGCTCTTTCTGGCAGACAGATCTCTGGCAAAGACTTTGGAGCCTTGATTCCGCTCGATCGCTTCTTCAATACGAGCTGTATTGAAGTTGCGTAAGTCCCGCCGCATGCATTTGGAGATCTGTCTGTTCAGTTGCCTGTATGCTGTCAAGTCTGTTGAAGAATGTAGCTTCATCTCCCGTCTAACAGCCATGAGATTAAGAGTGTGATCGGAGAGTTTTTGTGTTCTTCTGCGGCGGGTCTTGCATAACTTAGCTCCGACCGCATGGACAGTTTCAACGAGCTTGTCATTCATATCGTCCACTTCATTGCAGTCTTCTAGGCACTGAAAACGGTTTTGTAACTCGAGCTGAAAGGTTTCGGGACTTTGGATTAGAGCACGAGGGGGACGGAGCGTTGACTTCATTAGACGAGACCTCTCCAACTTAACGTTTAGGTTCAGTGTGCCTCTAACCATTCGGTGATCGCTACCAGTTTTCACCCTCGCGATCACGGAGACATCACTGAACAGTTGTCGTCTGGTCGTCATAATGAAGTCAATCTCATTTTTTGTCGAACTGTCGGGGCTCGACTAGGTCCACTTCCTGTGGGGCCGCTTCTGGAAGAAAGAGTTCATCATAAAGAGTCCCTCTTTCTCCATGAAGTCGGCCAGCTGCGGGCCCCTTGGGTTCCGTTGCCCTATTCCAAATTTCCCTACTTTCAGCTCACCGTTCTCTCTTGTGCCTAGTTTTGCATTAAAGTCTCCCATTAACACCGTATATTGGGTTTTGGAGGAATGCATGGCTCTAGAGATATCCTCATACATTTCCTCCACCTCCTCATCGGGGTGTGCCGAGGTTGGTGCGTAAACCTGTATGACCTTCAGCGAATACCGTTTGGTGATTCTGAGTATAAGGTACGCAACCCTCGTCGACACACTCCCGATCTTTACAACGTTGTTAACGAGAGACTTATGGACGATAAATCCGACACCTCCTTGGGACAGATGGTAGCCCTCCCGGTGATAGAGCAAGTTGCCGGATTCGAGGATTACCGTGTCCTCCCCCTCTCTTCGGACTTCGGATAATCCTATAATATGCCAGCGCAACTTGTCTATCTCTTCTTCTAGCTCCACGATCTTCTCGTCAGTCCTCAAAGTGCGTGCGGTGTACGTTGCCAGGTCGAGTCGTCTAAGGTGGCAACCGAACCTCCACCGGAGATTCTTAGCACCCCCTGCCCCGCCGTTACCATGGTCGCCACCGTAGCCAGGAATAGCGGGGCCGCCAGGGACTGGGGGCCGTTTCTTTGTTACTGTCATTCATAGGGGGGTATTTGCAGTTTTTTTTTATTGTTAGTTTGTTGTTATCAAGAAGATGCTGCTGCCCATCTCCTGCCTGTTTCCCTTTGTCGCCTTTTACGACACCCACGGGAGGATATGGGGTAGTGGATATTCTTGACCGCCACTACACGGCTAATGTGCCAATGCAATGGATGAAAGGATGCATCGCCAATTAAAGGCTGCGCCAATGTGTAATTCTATTACTTGGACGAAAACATTATCGTTCGTCCTCCTAGGAATGAGAAACACTCTCAAGTAAGATTTAAAAACCTCGGCAGAAGAACTGGTTTACGGATAACCGCTGCGGTTACCGGGTGAGCTAATTGCGCTCCAGAAGTTCACGAATAGTCCTGCAGACATAATAGAATGTGTATAATAAAATTTTCGTCCCGCTCCTGCAACTCAACACACGCGGCTGTCTACATTAAGATTAAGATCTTGCATTGCCTACTCACGTTTTTCTTCGCGATGACACAGTAAAGCGCCCTCTACAACCACCATGTACGGGTCCTCACGCAATTCTTCAGAGAAAAGATAAAACGCTGATCTTAGACTTCAATGTTAGAAGAAGTCGCTGTAAGCATTGATCGTATAAAGCTGGCTCCCACTACTGTGGTCCCCATAATCGCTAATATTCCCACTCCTATTATCTAACCCACCCCAAATAACAAAGTTATGCCATACGAGGCTAGATTAGATAGAACAAGATCTAACAGACATGTAAGTTTTAGATATTTAAGATATTTAGCAGTTTTTTTTTAATTTGCCTTTAATTAACCTTATTGTTCTCCGTAAGGGGGTGATGTGGCGAAACGCCAAGCTGCCAAAGCACAAAGCGTCTATTAGTATCTACGCATAGGGTATAACGTTTACTCCGAAATGCACAATTTCTAAAAGTAGGTACTCTAGGCTGTTGCTGCGCATAAATTTGTACTTTTATTACTTTGTGTGTTACCACTAATAATTTATAGTTCATCAATATTAATGCAGTATTGTTTAATATCCAAGAACTACAACACAGTAGCAGTACTAACAATAATTCTAAATTTATGCTCACTTTCTACTGTTTTTACCTCTTTTAACCACAAAAAGTACAAGAGAGCTTGTGCAGTTTATAATAAGACGACAGCTACACACACTTCATCCGATAAAATTTTTGGTAACATATCAATAAATTTATTTTTTCCCAAATAAAATTATTTTTTCCAAGTTAATCTAGGTCCACGTTAGGCACACATATCTTTATTTTAACTATTTTAGGTCACTGTTTGACAACTACTACTACCTAATTACTCTGTGCACATTTTATGAATATTTATTAGACTTAAGTTAACTTTTTTAATGTTTATTCTATAAAACAATGTAAGAAAGTTTTGTTACGTAAATCAGATTTTTTTTATAGGATAAGGGTGACAAACGAGCACACAGTCCACCTGATGGTAAGTGGTTGCTGCGGCCCATAGACATCTACATCTATCCTCTGTTACAAATCAAAATGTAGATGCGTTGTCACCCGTGAGGACTAAGATGGAATGCCTCATTTCCAGTAAAAAGGGCCTCTGGCCCCCTGCACTCACCAAGCGAAACGCAGAGGTAAACCTCTACTTCACGCTGGTTTTCTGTGAGTTCGTGGTACTACCCCGGTTCGAGCCGGCCCATCCGTGCGACAGCAAAAGCTGCCGCGTGGCTCTACCACTGTTAAAACTAATATAAGTAAAAATTAGGCTCACATTATCCGGCAACGACAGGTATAAGGAACAAATGGAAACTGCCCCCTTGCAGCGATGAAACTATACAAGTGCATACTCCAAAAAGGAAACACATTTCTTTATAAGCGGCTTTATTACAAAACATCAAATTTCGAGACTTACGCACTGTGGCAAACTTGTACGTTTTACAATACTCATACAATTTTACAACAATATTTTAGATTTATGTGAGAAATTTAAATCACGGCTGCTAACGATATTATTTCTTAATGGCCAGCATTACAAAAATAACCGAACTTAGAATTTGAAAAAAAATTTTAACTCAGATAATCTACAACAGTGTTTTGGTCACCGATATAGTACGATTTCACATATAACTCAATGGTTTTGGTACGTATTCTAATTTAACGATAACTTTATGAAATCAATAAAAATAACAATGGCCAATTATTACTAATTTCAAAGGTAACGCTGCAGAAGATTTTAGTAGTTTTATATTATTTCATCTTTCGTACTGGTTTATTCTGCGCAAGCTGGTCACGTCCATACCGTAAATGGCAAATGTAGCAGGCTCCTTGAACCGCACCTGTGGGACAATTAGTTTCAGTGAGACTACTATTGCTATTGATATTCGCATAATTAAAAGCTGCTTATATTAGTAGTATAGTTGTAGCACGAATGGGTCGGCTCGACCGGGGAAGGACCACGCTCTTACAGAATACCAGCGTAAAATGGCAGCTTGACACTGCTGTGTTTCGTTTGGTGAGTGTAGAGAACCGGAGACCCATTTTACTGGAAAATAGGCATTCCATCTTAGTCCTCACGGATGACGACGCATCTGCATTTTGATTCTTTATTGAGGATAAATGTACATGTCTATGGGTTACAGCAACTACTTACCATCAGGTGGACTGTGTGCTCGTTTGTCACCCTATCTTATAAAAATAAGTAAATTATCTACTGACTTTTAAATAAAGTTATATAACCCTAAAGGGGTTCTAAGCGCAAACGACACAGGTGTCCCATTCGAAAGCCGAAGCGAGTTTACATGGTAGAGCCATGCTGCAGCTATATTAATAGTATAGTTGTAGCACGAATTGGGTCGGCTCGACCGAGGAAGAACCACGCTCTCACAGAATACCAGTGTAAAATAGCAGCTTAACGTTGCTGTGTTTTGTATGATGAGTGTAGAGAACCGGAGACCCATTTTACTGGAAAAGAGGCATTCCATCTTTGTACTCACGGGTGACGACGCATCTGCATTTTGATTCTTTATTGAGGATAAATGTAGATGTCTATGGATTACGGCAACCACTTACCATCAGGTGGATTGTGTGCTCGTTTGTCACCCTATCTTATAAAAAGAAGTAAATTATCTACTGACTTTTAAATAAAGTTATTAAAATGCCAGTAAAGTTTTCACTAACAGAGATGGGCAGCAGTATTTCCTTGATAATAACCAATAATAAAAAAATAATGAACAGATGCGGTAGCCTCCCAGCGTGGCAACTATGGAAAAGTCCACCTACGAGGTAATCTGTGTGGAAGCCCTATGTTCAGCAGTGGTGGATGAATGGGCGTACATTATATAATTGCACCCTATAAAATTGTATGGGCTGAAAAAAGGCACTAATAGACCAACTCATACAATTTTTAAGATGCACGTTCACTTGTATGGTCTATTTCAATTCCAATAAAAATACACTTTACTTTTACTTTTCAATCTTACATGGAACTGTCAATGTAACCTTATCGTAAAATGACTTACCTCTCTCTCGTCATCCTTATTTGTCTTATCTTTTTCGTCATTTTGTGTATTGTCGGCAATTACCGTAACCTATAATAATCATTTTATGTTATAGATATAAATTAAAATGTGGTACAAAGGAAAACATATTGTACAATAGAACGTGTAAAGTGTAGTGCACATGACACTCAAAAATTGTTTACTCTCATAAGGAACGATTAAATGAAATTAATTTAAAGAAAATTTCTACATATATTTTTTTATATTAATGTAATATTAATGTTTACGTCGCCACTAATAATGAAGTTTTTTAAAGGTGTAATAGGGATACACACGTTCGAAGAGGTCTGTCCGAATAGACACACTTTTTTTTGCTTTTTCAGCCCGTATGGGCCACTCCTTTAAGAGAGGATTTGGTATAATTGACTGTTTAGTATCGGTAAAGAAATGGGCAAGACGCCTTGTCGAAAGTACGGGGACAACTAAAACACATCCTGACTATGAAAAAAAATTTGTTTTATAGGACCTAGGACCCAACATTTGGTTATTTATTTTCTACAGACTTCAAAAAGGAGACGGTACTTAATTCGACTGTATATTTTTTTATGTGTGTTACCCCATAAATTTTTTACTGGGTAAACCGATTTCGACGATTCTTTCCTAGCTGGTGCTTCACATGTGGTCCCATATAAATTTGATTAAGGTCCGACCAATAGATTTTGAGCTAATCTTAATAATTTAAATTGTAGTTGGTTGTACAAAATTTTTAATTTTTAATTATATAAATCTAAAGTGAACGAACTAATAGTCTAACTGACGGTGAGTGGCTTCTGGAGTCCATGGAAACCTGCAGACAACTTCAAACAAAAGACTATAGATTTATTGTTAATCCCAAAGACTTAGACGGAATGCCTCACAGCCTGTTCTTACACAGGCTCTCTAATTCATTTAGATCCGAACACAGCTTTACAAGTACTACTGGTTGGCGGCAGGAATAGGTAACAAGATGGTATCTAACTAGACGGGCTACCCATTAAATACCATTAAGACATGTGATCATCCAAAATTTAAACGTGGTAGAGCCATGCTGCAGCTATATTAATTGTATAGTTGTAGCACGAATGGGTCGTCTCGACCGGGGAAGGACCACACTCTCACAGAATACCAGCGTAAAATAGCAGCTTAATGCTGCTGTGTTTCGTATGGTGAGTGTAGAGAATGGAGACCCTTTTTACTGGAAGCGAGGCATTCCATCTTAGTCCTCACGGGTGACAACGCATCTGCGTTTTGATTCGTAAGCGAGGATAAATGTAGATGTCTATGGGCCACAGCAACCACTTACCATCAGGTGGACTGTGTGCTCGTTTGTCACCATTATCCTATAAAAAAAAACTATGTATATAGCTGACGCTAATATATTAGTCAGTTTTCATTGAATACAGTTTCAATAGTGATGGTCAATGAAATCAGATTCGAAAGAAGCTCAATTGTCGTCGTACACGTTTATTATACAATCAACATCCATGTTGTATTCCAAAAAAACATTAAAATTTAATTTCCTTAAATTGGTACATATCAAACAATTACAACTTACCTCGGGTTCGTCATCATTGCCAACGTCGTTTACAACCGGCGGTATATTCGCTCCAAGCTTGTCGGCTAACGTTTGAACCTTACGAAAGTAATAATAAACATACTTTACTTATTTAATTTATCAATTTCTACATATTTTTATAACATATTTTGCAATGTGGCGTTGAAGGAAACATTGTAGAAACTTATTTAGATTTTTATCTTAATTTTCCTTTATACTTTATAAGCTCATAAGTGTTAACGTTAACAATTAACTAGGTAAATTGTTTTCTATGATTTTTAAATATATTTAAATCAAGGGGTCTGTCAGTCAATCTTTTTCCTAGATATATGAAGAGCATATCTGGGCTACAAGAATTTTGAAGAATAGGTTTTTGTGGATCTAATGCTACTGCGCTGTGAGAGCTAAATGAAACAATCGCAACTCGGACATAATATACTTACCTATGTAAAATTGATGAAATTATGATCTCGTATTACCCTGTTCTTTCTTATAAAACAGGACCGAATCTAATTTTATTTTTTTAAGGACAATATTAAAAGTTGATTATGTATATATTTCTTAAATTTATTATGTTCGTTGATTTTTTTAAGTGAATAACAACTACGTGGTTTGCTCCAAAATAATTTTCGGTGCGAGAATATATTTATCTTTCTCTATTACACAGAGAACTGAACGCGCGCCTTTCTCTTTTCCGGCAAGCATCTAACGCCCAGCTACTATCCTTCCCTACCGCAAATAATAATATAATATAATCTAGTGTTCTCTGTCACGCTCTACTTTAAAATAAAATTATTGAAACGCTAAATCGTGGTCAATCACCAGTCTTGCCACGATTTGAAAAGTCAACCATAAAGCATTGGATTCTCAATAAAATTATCTATATGTATACATTTAATTTTGTAAGAAAAAGATAGAGGATAAATTACTATATCAGTTTACCTGTTTACACCTGGTAGACAGGTATTGTTGCATGGAAAACTATAGTCAAATAAATTTTTTTTTCGATGGAGACCAGTTTTTAGCAAGGAAAAGAATGACCGTAACCGGTAAAAAAATTTATGGAATAATTTTAATTAAAAATAGCCTTGCCAAAACATAGGCTTTCAATCACCCCGATTTGTATTTATTTATATATTTATTTTATAAAAAAAATCATCAAGGAAAAGAATAAAATTGAAAAAAATTAGCTTACGTTAGGATACTGCGAGAAGCAAGCTCTTGCCCGACCAATGCAGGGCGGCGCCACGGCGCGGCCATAACGATCACGGTCCGCCGGATCGAACATGTAGAAACCTGTCCAAAGAAAAATACCTAAAACACCTGTCGAAACAACAAGAATGCATGGACACAGTCAACCTGATTGTAAGTGGATACAATAGCTCATATACACCTAAATACAACCTCATCCTCGATTAACAATCAAAATTTAGATGCATTGTCACCAATGAGACTAAGAAGATGAATATCTCGTTAACAGTAAAAAGGACCTTCAATTTTCTACACTCACCATCACATAGGCTTGGACAAAAAATATCGATATATCGAAATATCGATATTTCTTAATGAAAATATTTTAAATCGAATTCGTATCAATTTCGATATATTTTATAATGTTGAGAGCCGTGGTAGCAACCCGGGTTCGATCCCCGCCGGCACCAATGAAATCGTTAATTGCAATTTTAAGTGCTGATTTATCACGTGCTCGGCGGTGAAGGAAAACATCGTGAGGAAACCTGAATGTCTGAGAAATAAGAAAGAAAATATATTTCGAAGACATGTGAAGTTCGCCAACACGCATTGGGGCAGCGCGGCGGATATTTCCTTGCCCTAAAACCCTCTCAGAAATGAGAGGAGGCCTGTGCCCAGCAGTGGGACGTAAATAGGCTGCAACTTTACGTTACTTTTACTTTTATAATGTTGTATTAATGACAAAACTTATAACAACAAAAGGACGTACAAAAGTATTCATGTGTGGTTGGTTGTCGTTTTTTTTCCATCGTCCAACCGTCAGTAATCATTAAAGTTTTGGACCTTATCTTTACATCATGCAAATGATGACGATATGTCGATATTTATCATGCAATATATCTCGATACTGTTTAAAAAATCGATTCGATATAGTTTTTCCCTGGCCCATCCCTACCATTCACTTGTGGTTTGCAAAACCTATAATAATCTGCAGCGGTGTCAATCACCCATGAAATATGTTTTACTGCCTCGTTGGTCTATAAGCGTGACTGCTGATCATGATTTCTGGGGTTCGGATCCCGAATCACGCCAAAGTCAGTTATTGGGTTTGTCTGTATTTTGTTTCTAGTATTAAACTCATGTATGTCACTATTTTATTACAATATATTTGTATTTTTTTCCTTAAAAGCAAATTCCACTTTGTTGACTGAGTAGGTGATATAACATTATGTATTTACCTCGCGGTGTCCTGAAAAGCGCCACAGCGAAGTCACCATTCCCAGCAACAAATACACCGGATCGTTCCTCACGGAAGAACTCGGTTAACTGAAAATTTTAAAGCAAGCCAGACATAAATTAAGAATCAAGAACAAAACAAGTAATTTATTAAAAAATGGAACCAGGCTGCATTATTTTATCCTTCTTGTTTTTTATCAGTAGGAGCGAGGATTTGCCGTCATCATCACGATAAGCAGATATATATATATATAGATACCTCTAAAATCACCCACATGAATTCTCTTACACCACTAGCACCAGCCTAGTGATTTATTATTGATAGAAAGAACGGCACGGTGTCAGAATAAACATGCACCTAATTATGTTTTCTAGCGTCCTGTATACCTATAACGTATATTTTTCTATGGTACATTTAGAAATAAACATGGTAAAGGGCAGCAGCGTCAAACTTGCGAGATGTCTAGTACTGTGATCGTGAATCCACTTACTAAACATGGGTCGATTAAGAAGCAGATTAACGTTGCACTACAACTTTACCCCGACTATAATTTGAATTTCAGCTCAGTGTACGTCATATAACAAGATATAAAGATGGTGGAAAGTCGTAATTCCACCATCACACAGTAAACCCTCGGCCATAACATAACATTAAACGCCCACGCCTGCTACCCACAGGGGTAGTCAGAGACCATGGACTTCCATTTAACGATCGTGACACACCTCTCTCGCTTCTTTCACATGTTGTATGTATATGCATGTACCTACACATATATGCCCGTCGGCTTAGGGTACTCTTAATTAGGCTCATGTTCAATATATCGCCACTTTTTAAAAGTGTATAAAACAGGTGGTAGGACTCGTTTTCTGCCCAGAAGTCTGTCTATGTAGGTAACACCACTTAACTGTTTCTGTGATCGAGCAGCAGTGCGTGCACTGCATTGTTAGGGCCTGAAGGGTATAGAATGATAATATTATAAAGATATGGTAGAGATATGCTGCAGCTATATTAATAGTATAGTTATAGCACGAATGGGTCGGCTCGATCGGGGAAGGACCACGCTCTCACAGAATACCAACGTAAAATAGCAGCTTAATGTTGCTGTGTTTCGTATGGTGAGTGTAGAGAACCGGAGACCCTTTTTACTGGAAACGAGGCATTCCATCTAAGTCCTCAAGGATGACAACGCATCTGCATTTTGATTCTTAATTGAAAAAAAAATGTAGATGTCTGTGGGCCACAATATCCACTTACCATCAGGTGGACTGTGTGCTCGTTTGTCACCCTATGCTATAAAAAAATTAAAAAATATAATAATTAGGTACAAGCTAATGTCAGAGACTGGTCCCACAAATGGAGCGTATGCACCAATTATGACATCTGGACTCTCGATTTTGTTTGAAAAACTATGCATTAGAAACACACTTATCGCATGCAACGCAACCACACGCGTCCGACGCATCGTCGATCTGTAATATCCAGATCGGCGTGGGAAGGTGGAGGGGATGTTACTTATGTTGTACGCAATCCCACGCGCACGACTAGGACTATTGTGTTCCTAGCTTGGTTCCTAGAACTTACGCGAAGCATGTCATAAACAAATAGACCTTTTCAATAGACAAAACGCGTGCAAGGTGCGTTTTGTTGTCTAAATGGGAGATGAACAGCTCATCGATTTAGAAAGGCAATACGAATGTTTTTTTTTATTATATTAAATGTGATGAACATTGTTAAAAGTAAGTAAAAGTAGTTTTTTGTATTTTTATCCCAGCAAGCCCAGTGACTATTAGATATAAGATATGATTCTACGTGGTAGAGCCATGCTGCAGCTATATTATGGTTGTAGCACGAATGGGTCGGCTCGACCGGGGAAGGACCACGCTCTCACAGAAAACCAGCGTAAAATAGCAGCTTAACGCTGCTGTGTTTCGTATGGTGAGTGTAGAGAACTGGAGACCCTTTTTACTGGCAAAGAGGCTTTCCATCTTAGTCCTCACGGGTGACAACGCATCTGCATCTTGAGTCTTTATTGAGGATAGATGTAGATGTCTATGGGTCACAGTAACCACTTATCATCAGGTGGACTGTGTGCTCGTTTGTCACCCGATCCTGTAAAAAAATGATATTGTATTCTACATGTATGCCGTGTAGTGGCGGTCAAGAATGTGTCGTAAAAGGCGACAAAGGGAAACGGGCAGGAGGTGGACAGCAGCATCTTCCTGATAATATCCAAAATTACAATAAAAAAACTGCGGTTGCCAACCCGCTCGCCAAGCGTGGCAAATATGGCAAATACCCCCCAATGACTAAAGCAACAAACAGACGGCCCCCAGTCCCCGGCGGCCCCGCTATTCCTGGCTACGGTGGCGAACATGGTAACGGCGGGGCAGGGGGTGCTAAGAATCTCCGGTGGAGGTTCGGTTGCCACCTACGACGACTCGACCTGGCAACGTACAACGCACGCACCCTGAGGACTGACGAGAAGATCGTGGAGCTGGAAGAAGAGATAGACAAGTTGCACTGGCATATTATCCGAAGTCCGAAGAGAGGGGGAGGACACGGTAATCCTCGAATCCGGCAACTTGATCTATCACCGGGATGGCGACCATCTGTCCCAAGGAGGTGTCGGATTTATCGTCCACAAGTCTCTCGTTAACAACGTTGTAAAGATCGGGAGTGTGTCGACGAGGGTTGCATACCTTATACTCAGAATCACCAAACGGTATTCGCTGAAGGTCATACAGGTTTACGCACCAACCTCGGCACACCCCGATGAGGAGGTGGAGGAAATGTATGAGGATATCTCTAGAGCCATGCATTCCTCCAAAACCCAATATACGGTGTTAATGGGAGACTTCAATGCAAAACTAGGCACAAGAGAGAATGGTGAGCTGAAAGTAGGAAAATTTGGAATAGGGCAACGGAACCCAAGGGGCCAGCAGCTGGCCGACTTCATGGAGAAAGAGGGACTCTTTATGATGAACTCTTTCTTCCAGAAGCGGCCCCACAGGAAGTGGACCTGGTCGAGCCCCGACGGTTCGACAAAAAATGAGATTGACTTCATTATGACGACCAGACGACAACTGTTCAGTGATGTCACCGTGATCGCGAGGGTGAAAATTGGTAGCGATCACCGAATGGTTAGAGGCACACTGAACCTAAACGTTAAGTTGGATAGGTCTCGTCTAATAAAGTCAATGCTCCATCCCCCTCGTGCTCTGTTCCAAAGTCCCGAAACCTTTCAGCTCGAGTTACAAAACCGTTTTCAGTGCCTGGAAGATTGCAATGCAGTGGACGATATGAATGACAAGCTCGTGGAAACTGTCCATGCGGTCGGAGCTAAGTTCTACAAGACCCGCCGCAGAAGAACACAAGAACTCTCCGATCACACTCTTAATCTCATGGCTGTTAGACGGGAGATGAAGCTACATTCTTCAACAGACTTGACAGCATACAGGCATCTGAACAGACAGATCTCCAAATGCATGCGGCGGGACTTACGCAACTTCAATACAGCTCGTATTGAAGAAGCGATCGAGCGGAACCAAGGCTCCAATGTCTTTGCCAGAGATCTGTCTGCCAGAAGCTGAAGACGGAATATGACAGCATTGTTTCCGGGACACCTGAGATTTTGAGTGAGATTGAGAGGTTCTATGGGCAGCTGTACACGTCATCGTTGGAGCGACACTCAAGTGTGAGTAACGATCCAAGAGCGAGTCTCATCCGACACTATTCCGAAGATATCCCGGACGTCAGTCTGAGCGAGTTTAGAATGGCTCTCCAGCACCTTAAAAACGGTAAGGCCCCAGGCGAGGATGGAATTACAGCGGAGCTTCTGAAAGCGGGTGGAAGACCGGTACTTGAAGTCCTTCAGAAGCTCTTTAATTCCGTCCTCCATGGTGGCATTACGCCGGAGGCGTGGAGCAGATGTGCGGTGGTCTTGTTCTTCAAGAAAGGTGACAACGCTCTCTTGAAGAACTACAGACCGATTTCCCTTCTGAGCCGCATCTACGTGCTGTTTTCGAGAGTCATTACGAATCGTCTCGCGCGCAGACTTGACGACTTCCAGTCTCCCGAACAAGCCGGTTTCCGAAAGGGCTTTAGCACCATAGACCACATACATACCCTTCGGCAAGTTGTACAGAAGTCCGAAGAGTACAATTTGCCACTAAGTCTGGCGTATGTGGACTATGAGAAAGCCTTTGATTCCGTAGAAATTTGGGCGGTGCTGCAGTCCCTTCAGCGGTGCCAAGTTGACTGTCGGTATATCGAAGTGTTGAAGTGCTTGTACAGTAGGGCTACGATGGCTATCCGAGTACAGAACCAGAGTACGAAACCTATCCAATTGCAGAGAGGTGTAAGACAGGGTGACGTCATATCCCCGAAACCCTTCACCACTGCATTGGAAGACGTTTTCAAGCTTCTGGACTGGAAAGGATACGGTATCAACATCAATGGCGAGTACATCACTCACCTTCGATTTGCCGACGATATAGTCCTTATGGCAGAATCGCTGGAGGGCCTAAGCACTATGCTCAATGACCTCAATAGTTTTTCCCAACGGATAGGTCTTAAGATGAACATGGACAAAACAAAGATCATGTTTAATGTCCATGTCACACCTATGCCGGTAGTTGTTGGGAGCACGAAGCTCGAAGTTGTTGATGAGTATGTTTACCTGGAACAAATAGTCCGACTAGGTAAGTCCAACTTCGACCGATCAACGGATTCAACTCGGCTGGGCAGCGTTCGGGAAGCTACGACACATCTTCTCGTCAGACATATCTCAAAACCTTAAAACGAAATTGTACAACCAGTGCGTGTTGCCAGTGATGACTTACGGAACTGAGAAGTAGTCCTTCACTGCTGGCCGTATGAGGAAGCTCCAGGTCGCTCAGCGAGCTATGGAGAGGGCTATGCTCGGAGTTTCTCTGCGTGATAAACTTAGGAATGAGGATATCCGCAGTAGAACCAGAATAACCGACATAGCCCAACGGATTAGTAAGCTGAAGTGGCAGTGGGCCGGCCATATAGCTCGAAGAACCGACAACCGATGGGGAAGAAAGGTTCTCGAGTGGCAGCCTCGTGCGGGCGGACGAAGTGTAGGGCGTCCCCCCACGAGATGGAGTGACGACCTGGTAAGACATGCAGGAAGTCGATGGATGCAGGTGGCTCAGGACCGTGCTTTGTGGCATTCTTTGGGGGAGGCCTATGTTCAGCAGTGGACTTGTGAAGGGCTGTAATGATGATGATGATGATGATGTATTCTACATATTATTCATGTATTCGTTTGCAACATAAAACATATATTTTAACAGAATTACTACATTACCGCCCGAAACTCCGACTTAAGAAAATTTGGTAGCAATACTGTTAAAAGTTATGATTATTTAAAAGGTAAACAGATCCATGAAATATGAAAATTATAAAATTTTACTCCCTCAAAACATCGAAAGTTTAAACGAAAGTACAGAAAAAAATCGACCGTCAACATTTTCCGGTTCTTTTTTTAATGTTTAGTATTCTGCAAACCCAATATCTTCGCTTCTAAACTCAAAAGTTAAGATGCGAAAACATTGGGTTCGTAAAAGAAAAATCTTTTTCTTTGTGGCGTGAATATGTTCCTTTATGAACATCACACACACAAAGTATATGATTATCAAATTCACTCTAGGAATCATAAAACATTTGTACTCGTGCGTCCGCTAAGAAGTGACAAGAGTGGTGACGAATGTACGTTGCATATGTGGATCAAGTATGTACACCAACGTAGGAGCGTTGGATCTCATACGTAGCGTACGTGGGACCAATTCGTACCTCGCTTAAGTCATTAAATCTGAATCCTCGGAGGTGACATCTGTAGCCTTTTTTGTTTGAAATTGATTAAAGTTGTTCATTGGCTGCAGTAGCCATCAGGTGGACTGTAAGTTTATTTGTCACTTTTTATATAAAAACAAACGCGTCGTAATCAAAATAAACCACGCCCACACGCATAAGCTTGTGTACGAGAACGGAGCCGTTGTATGTGTAAATGAAATAAAAATGCTTAAAAAAATGTAAGTGGCTATGGGTACATATCTGCAGTTACTAATTATGTACTCTACGGTATTGTTGTATAGTTTAGTTACCTGTTGCACTAAGTCTGTGTCGACGCGTCCCTGCTGTCGCGCTTTGTACACCACAACCCGACACACGCAGTTGCCCGGCGTGTAGAACTTGCGAAGGATCTGACACACAGTTAAATCCTTTAGTTTAAAACCTTTCACTTTGAAGTTTTAATGATTAGTAATTACATTCAATATGATATTTTAACTGCTGCTTTTCGTTCAGTTACAGATGTCCATCGGTACGCGCTACTTTCGATTGAAGTATCCCACCCTGGGGCAGAAGCGACAGTAATACAGCTAGTAAAACAACTCATTATGAAAATTTTATCTGACTTCATCTTCGGTCGATATAGTCTAAGGCACAAAAGAAACAAAAAGAAAACATACACAAACTTTAAAAAAAAAACATGTTTTATTGATTTTTTTCGGGTTAAAACTATAGTATAAAATAGTCCCCCTAACTAAAGAAGTCGTGACATTTGACGTTTGCTGTCAAATTCCATACTATGCGTTTAGTTCTCATTACACGAATCCCTTTATTAAAACAGACTCTAGTTTAAGTGTGAGGCTATTTATAAACTACTTTTTGTAATAAGAAGGCTTACCGTCTAATTACAAAACATGGTTTATCAATTTATTATATAACCCTTGCAATCAAAGAAGTCCGTTTGTCGCGGTGCCAGTCTTCGCAAAATTTGACAGCAAAGGTCAAGGAAGTCCGGCGGAAATATGCAAACTAAAATTAGTCAAACTAAAATTAGTTTTCATATTTCCGCTGGACTTTCTTCGTGAAACAGATTTTAGTTTAACCCGAAACTGAATAAATATTAAGTATTTTTTGATTTTATCATCAAGTCCGTTCGTGTTTGGAGTACTGCAATGTTGCCGCTTTTTTTTCATTATCGACTAGCTACGAATACCTTCGACTCAGTGAAAAGACATGTAATGAGGCTTTAGGAATACTGGGTACCCACAATACAGGATTATCTAGTGTGGATACCAACGGATACTTTAATGAATTGTAGTTGTTTTCAGTCATATAAACATTTGTCATTTTTTAGTTTTTTTACGTGGTTCATCCTTTAGGTTAATCTGTCAGTCTAATACAATCTCTCAGGGTTATTTCGGAGACTTTATGCAAGAGTTACACTACAATACTTATTCTCAAATTATGGTATAGTTACATGGTGAGATACCTCGTACAAAACCTTCCGTTTAATCGTTTTGTGTGCGCGCATAAAGAGGTCAGAATTTTTTACCTGTGTCTTTTTTTCCTGACCACTGCAATTAGGAACTTTCTGAGGAAATTGTGAATAGGTATTTTTAAGCTAACATGTTTACCATTTAGGATATCACCACTTAACATCAGGTGGATCTTGATCACTTTGATCATCATCGTCGGACTGATGGTAATCCATAAAATTCCACTGATGGACATGGGCCTCTCCCGATGCAGGGATTTATCGTCATGCTTGTAGGCGGATTGACAAACGTAGTATGAGACGTCTCGCACCTTAAACGCTGTTGTCCGTCATCAGTTTGGGTATTTTCCGTCTAGCGTAAACAAGATTTCAAAAGCGATGAGGTTTATTTGACATTTCCCATAGTCACATTGTAAGTCACCCTTGGAACGAAATGGAGTGATGGAGTTTCTTACATCACCATCATATACCTGAAAACCTTTAAACCTTGGATTTTAATTAATAAAAATAAATTTCTCCAACTATCTAACAAATGTTTCACCTGTTCAATAGTGAGGACTTTTCGCTGCGGTCTGTAATGGAGATAACTATCCTGGTACAGCTGGTCCCCGCTTTCCAGTATCTGGTCCAATGTGGACGGGCACCATCTGCATACGTCCTCGACGCGAGTCATCGCCACTGCCATCACTGAGCACGCCAACGCCTGTAATGTTAGTAAATATAGCTTAGTATCGTCGTCAACGGCATCCTCATCGGCCCTTAATGATTCCATTGCTGGAATAAATCTGTCCTTTATGTCTTTTTATATATTCAAGGCGCAAATGAGCTAATAGTTCAACTTTTGTAAATGTGACTACTGCTATCCGCAAGTAGCATCCCACACAGTTCTTATAGAATAATATTATGTAACTTGTGCTATCCTTTTGGTGCCGTATTTTCTACTGTTTTGACTGTAAATTCTTTCAGTTATTTTTTTTAAATAAGAACCGCAATGGATTTTATTGTACCTGCTTGCCTCTAGAAGCGGCGGAGAATTTCCGACAGGCTATAGAGTGCTGAGCGGACAGATACTGTGTGCCGTCGTTCAGCACCAACCAGCCGGTTGTGTTCCGTTGTCCTGAAATACGTCAAAAGAATACTGTGTTTACTGAAGTGAAAGTGTAACTTATATACTTTTACGTGGTAGAGTCACGATGCAACTATAATATGGTTGTAGCAGGAATGGGTCAGCTTAATCAGGGAAGGGCCACACTCTCACGGAATACTAGCATATTATCTTTTAAATATGATGAGTGCAGAGATCCGGAGACCCTTTTCAATGGGAACGAAGCATTCCATCTTAGTCCTCAGGGGTGACAACGCATCTTGATTTCAACCAGAGTAGGTTGTCTCACAAACCAAACAAAAAATAATACAACTACCTATTTGAGAAATATTAAAAGAAATATAAATAATAAAATAGTAAAACGTAGATCAGAATAAAAAATCATATAATATTTCATTCAACAGGGTCAGTAACGTAGAAGCTAAGCGTTTGGTTGAGGGTTTGAATCCCGCATGGCGCAACTGTTTATATATTTATTTATTTAGAGTTTTATGCACAATAAATAAAATCGTATATATAGGGGAGTTAATGCCGTAAGGCATTAAGTCGGCTCCCAGGCAACCATTAGGCTAAGCAGAGATAAACATATGGGAAGTAGTGCAGCAAAAATAAACTGATAATGAGACAAAAGGCTACAGAGTCTTATAGCCGTAAGAGAGAGAGAGTGGAACATATAACCAGTACTGTGTAAAGGCGTTAACAACTTTAGATCATCCGAAGAACTGTTTATATAGTCTAGTCTACAAATTATTGTTCCTGATTGGATGTTTGATCATGTGCAACTTATATATTATGTGAAAACCCCTCGACGATGCAGGATAAAATCCCAGTGTGGGGTAACTGTTAAAATAGATCAGTAAAAAGATCGTTATACTGCGCACGCACACATTCGTAATAGGGTCGATCGGTGGCCAAAAACGTCGTTGCCTATAAATCACATTCAATTTGGGATAATTTCAAATAAAAGTAGAAGTATTTACTCGTATTTTCAAAAACTGCAGTAACGGTGTATAATTATTCAAATTTGGCTACTCTTTGAAAAAAAAAACCCTGTACATCACAATATTTATATATACTTTCTTTTATTTCACCAATGCTGAGAGATTAAGCAGTGAAACAACAAACAAACCTTTGAGCTTGCCTTCTTCTCGGTCTTTCAATTCAGCAGCCCGTTGAGCGTCGAGACAAGTCGCGCTTCCCGGTGGATGCCTGCGGTCGCTCTCGGCCGCGCGGCGCACGCTGCCGTCCACACCCACCTGTGACATCACATACTTAGAATTATATGTCCTGAGGAAACAAATCTTGGAGCACTAAACAGAAGTCCCTTCAGACAAAATTTCGGTCATGCCGGCCAGTCTCAACGAAAACTAGCCACTGAGCTGTACAAGATTATAGTGCCCGAGTGTGCATAAACACAGATGCACCCTTTATTCGATCACTCTTATAGTCTGTGTAAGAGCTTTATGAGGCACGGGTAAAACATAAAAAAATCTTGACTCTGCGCTGTAACTAAGGATTCCTTGGCAGAAACACCCGATAACTGATTTTTAACACGACCCTGGAATCGAACCCGGGATCATGATCAGCAGTCGCGCATACGATCACTAGATCAACAAGACAGAAACACAATATACACTATGACCAAACTGGAGCCGAAATGTGACAAAAAAAGTTTGTAAAATGAATTTAAAAGTCATAATACACAAAAATTGCTGTTTATCTGCCAATTGCACTTTCTTTTGTTTTCATATATTATTCTCTTTGTTTTTATGCTTGAAGGCCATAATTTCATTGCTTGAGCGAATAAAAAGTCAGTTTGAGATTTTCAATAAACATACTTAAATGGTATCAAAATTTTCCGACGGTACAACTGTGCTTATTTCTTGGAGAGAGGCAAGGAGGGAGAGCACTTCGGTAACCGTCTATGAAATTATCAATAAGACTACTACAGTTCACAGGGCTTTATTTGTTTAACTGGTACTGTGATCATCAGTTCGCCTGCCAAGGGCAAATTCTTCTAACAGCGGTAAGGGCCTATGTCCAGCAGTAGACTAGTAGTCTGATGAAGAAGAAAAGGAATGCCTAGCAGTGGAGTGTTAGGGACTAAAATATTACACGCTACAACTAGCACAAGAATGTCAGAAACTTTTTCTTAAAGAAGTAAGGCTGACCTGCTACGAGCATATTTGTAAGTGAATGATGTAGTCCAAAGACATCTACATCTATCCTCTATCAAGAAGCAAAACCCAGCTATACGTTATCGGACTGAGGACTAAGAATGATGAGTTTGCATGTGAAGCTATTTTACCTTGCTAGTAGCAGGAACTAGTTTGATGCCAGGTGGCGCTCTCACCAGTGGTGGATCAACGCCACCCAACTTCTTAATAGGTTGCACCGTCACTGATATCGCATATAACTGAAAATCGTGCTTCAGGCGCTCCGCAGCTGGGACGTTCTGGAGATATCTAGAAATTATACATACATATAATATTATATACTATAATATAGTCAAATGAATAATCAATTTCTTTAAGATAATTTAGTAAACTAACCTCAGACACTCTCCTTACTTATCACTCCACACACTAGCTTTAAGCTCTGGTTTCGCGGTACCTCTACATGACCGTCGTAATAAAGCGGGGTATGACGTCACTATAATGTTGTCTATGTAAGCAAAATAGCGTGGTTTCCTAGAGAGCGGTATTTGACACCATAACGTCAAAAAGTTTTGCCACTATTTGCATGACGGCCGTCTTGACGATGTCGGATAGTTCACGAATGTTTTATAGCGGTGATCGGTGACGGTAATCATGCTTCATGATTATATGAAAAGAAAGGATAGTACTATCTGTGGAGGAGTGACTTAAAAATCGGTTAATTAACTATAATTCGGCGAGAAGGCCCAGCTATGGTTCTGATCCTGGTGAAGGGTTTAAATGACCAGAGCAGAGAAATGCTGGTTCAGAGTTATTAAAAGGATGATTTTACGTAAATTAAGGAAAAACCATAGTGCGAATTTACTATTTCGCGATATAGATGCCCCTAAATTCGGGCTACAGGAGGAATATGAAGGAATGCATGAACACTCACCTGGACTTCTGCTCATCTGCTCTTCTCTTCATCTCTCAAGGGCTACGGCCACGATAGTTAGATGCCGACTGTCTCCACACATATAAACTTCACAGATTATCGCGAAATATAGTGTTATAGCAAATGTCTATTTACTTTACTATATTTTTGTATAGTTTAAGATCTAAATTACACAACGGCAGGAGCGATGACGCGAGATATAGGTGATGCGGTTGGTCTGCATTGGGGTTTAATTTTAAATGTATAACATTATAATTATCTAAAACTACTTGAAATTTCCTACGTAAGTGTTCTATATTTGATTTTGAAGCGACATTAAAAAGTAAATTCTGCTCTTCCAAAGAATTAAATGTGTCCTTTAAGGCCTCGTAAATTTTTTGTAAGCGTTCATAGTTATAATTACGCTTAGCGATAATAATTATAATTAACTTCTTCATTCCAAACCAGTTTAGATTCCTTTCTTCTCGTTATAATTTCAAACAAATAAAATGCGAACTAAAATTATTGTGATAAGTGGCGGTAGAATTAGCTTGGTTGCTAAACGAACCTATCTCACGTAATAGCGGTTAATGAACTAGAAAAATATCATTAAAGAAATAATGATGTGGTGTGGTATGCGTTACAAAGGAAATTAATATACGTGTAAAAAGCGGTGCGGGAGAAATATAAATTATAATTAATATAATTATAACTATAATTAATATAATTTAATAATATATATGTATATATTTTTAATACATAAAGAAATCGATATACAATAAGGGATTGCTACAATATGGGGAATGGAAAGACCGAATGAACGAGGTAAGCTGTTAGTTGAATATCTATTTAGCACTAACCTAACCATTCTAAACACAGGTTCTGAACCAACTTTCATGAACAAACGCTGTCGCACACTTGCAACGGAAGGAGCAGCTAAACTAATTACGGGATGGCATGTGTCGAGAGAGGCCTCATGCTCAGATCATAGATGGATCTGCTCCGCACTACAGGTCGATATGTCGATAAAACAAAATACATTAATAGGCTGACATCTTCGCTCGCGGGGACAAATACTATAGCAGATCAGTCGCTCCTAGAAGAACAGGTAGCAGCTGTTACTAAGGCCATGATAGATAGCTACCATGAATCATGTCCAGAAATTACTCCACCAAGGCATGCTGAGATAAATCAACCGTGGTGGGGTAAAGAACCAGATAAAAAACGTAAGAAGGTAAGAAAAGCCCTAAATAGGGCCATCAATACCTCAATGGATGTAGACTAGCTACTATACAAGAAAGCTAAGTCCGAATACAAAAAATGTATCAGGTATCAACGCTCGACAGGGTGGCGTAAATTCTGTGGCAACATAGAAACCTGCGAAAAAGCGAATAGGATAAGGAATATTATAGCTATACTAGCTGTTCCCCGTGACTTCGCCCGCGTGTAATTTAGGGTTTTAATTATATTGCTAAGGACCTTAATTCTTTTTCTCAAATATAAGTAGTCTAAGTTACTCCTCAGAACATCAGCTATCTGCCAGTGAAAGTCCCATGGAAATCGGTCAAGCCATTTCGGAGATTAGCCGGAACAAACAGACAGACAGACAGACCGACAGACAGACAGACAATTTTTTTTTTGTTATAAGTACCGTATATACATTCATATGTATTCAGTAAAAAGCTGTTATTTTAACATTACAAACAGACACTTCAATTTTATTTATTTGTATAAATAGAACATGTCGGGATCCATCTCTCTAAAGAAACCCGACGGTAGCTACTCAACATCGCCGGATGAAGCACAACGCATCCTAATTGAAACGCACTTACCAGGTTGCTGCGTAGCTCAGGAGGCAAACTGGAATGACGAAATACTGATACCAACAGCAGAAGACTGGAATTTAGCACAGAGAATGGTATCGATGGACAAAATCCATTGGGCCATTCACAGTTTCCTCCCCTACAAGGCGGTTGGACCTGACGGCATATTCCCGGCACTCGTACAGTGGGGGGGGGGGGAGGTAAAGCCCTAATAGCCAGACTTGTTGCCATAATGAGAGCCTGTCTGGCTCTTAAATATGTTCCTAGCGAATGGAGGGAAGTGAAAGTCACATTCATACCCAAACCAGGTAAGAGCGAATACACAGACCCTAAATCCTACAGGCCCATTAGCCTCACATCCTTTCTCCTAAAGACGATGGAGAGGATGTGTGAAAGGGAATTAAGGGGGTCGGCGCTAATGAACTTACCACTACACGACAAGCAACACGCCTACAGTATAGGCAAATCAACAGAATCGGCACTTCACCAGGTAATAACAAAGATTGAAGAGGCAATCCAAAACAAAGAAATATGTCTAGGTTCCTTCATAGATATAGAAGGTGCTTCTGACAGAACGAACTTCTCCAGCATAAAAGGTGCACTCAGTAGACAAAGTTGAACCGGCACTGATTGGTTGGATAGTAAACATGCTCAGTACACGAATAATAAAGATTGCTGGTGAATCTCAACCAATCCAGATTAAGAAAGGCTGCCCGCAGAGTGGGGTTCTATCACCTCTCCTGTGGAATATGGTCATTAATGAACTCATCAGCAAATTAAATGCCAACCACTTCTACACAGTAGGTTATGCTGATGACCTGACAATACTCGTCTCTGGAAAGACAGCAAGCATAGTGTGCGACCTGACCAAAGCGGCTCTCTGTATAGTGGAGAGATGGTGCAGGGAATACGACTTAACTGTCAATCCAAAAACGGTTCTAGTAATGTTCACACAAAAACGAATGCTGAATAACTATCATCACCCAAGTCTTTTCAGCACAAAACTCCAGCTATCCTCTGAGGTAAAATATTTAGGTCTTACCTTGCATAGCAAACTTAACTGGAATAAACACTTAGAAAACAAAATCAACAAAGCCAGTATAACTTTCTGGCAATGCAGAAACATGATTGGCAAAAGATGGGGTCTGACGCCAAAAATCATACTGTGGCTGTACAAAACTGTAATTCGGCCCATGATCATACGGCGCTTTGGTATGGTGGACCAAGACAAATGAAGCCAACACTATAAAGAAGCTTCAGCGCTACCAGAGACTGGCATGTATGGCTGCCACAGGCTGCATAAGGACTACGCCAACAGCAGCTTTAGAAGCGATGCTGGGGCTAACCCCGCTTCATCTACATATTATACAACAAGAAGCGACTTTAGCTGCCATCAGACTCAAGACCCTAAACCTTTGAAGTAAGAATAGTGTCCCTCATACAGGCATAATTGATAGAATTCACTCAAAAATTCCTATCTTACAAGCCAAGTACGATAAGATTCCTAAACAATTTGTATTCGATAAAAAGTACAAGATACAATTAAATGAAACCAGCCAGCCGGAAGGATTAAGCCCAAAAGAGTTTGGAGTTTTCACCGATGGTTCTAAAACAAATGAAGGTGTAGGATCTCGAACTCTCTCTCTCTCTGAAGACCTCAATATCCACATATGCACACCGCTGGGTACCTATAACACAGTCTTTCAGGCGGAATTTATAGATATCATTCAAGCGGCCATAGCCAAAGAGAATATAACCACTACGTTTAAGAGGCGGGACTTCTATAGTAAAAGTAAATGCATGTAAGTACGCCAAGCTACTCTACCAACATCAAGATATGACATTTAGTTTTGTCATTAAATTTTTAGTAGGTAATAAAGGAGGTAACCAACATGTTTTTGACCCGGGGCCAGTATTTTTGCTCCCTGTCTCTCACTGCTGGGGCCGTAGAAATAGGCACGAAACATAATCTAAATTAATTATAGACATTCCCAAACGTATTTTCAGTAGTTCTTTTAGCTCATGATTGACGGTGATGGAAATTTTCACGGATCGTCACCGTAAAGATGGCCGCTTTTTTGTATCCAAATTATATTATAGACAACGTTATAGTGACGTCGTAGGAAACCAGAGTTATTGACACCTAGACTCGCCGTATTCAATATCACGTGTCTAGTAAAGTAGTCAAATCTAGACAGTCTAAAAACGCACTAAAGCAAAATAGTTCTAATTTTATGTGTAACGAATGAAATATATATTTTACGGCAGGCATTTATCGAGCATAATTATTGCTGTCTTGGCTCGCCAAGTTTACCTTGGCTGTAACAAAATCACGTAGGGTAAAAAAGTTTAGCGTTCAATCGGAAAAGAGTTAATACAAAAAGTATCTTACGCAAAAGCCATCAGCTTAGGAGAAGTGAAAGTCAATACACATGCAGCGCCATCATCCTGAAATGAGATAAAATTAAAAAAAATGATAATTTTCTTCTGTATTACGGATCTTTGATAGAAATCCCGGATCCAACAAAAATAAATGTTAGCATTTGATATAATTTTGCCCTGTGATGCGTAAGAGAATTTTATCACCCCATTTCCGGACGGTACAACCATCTGGTTTATAGTAAAGTTGCAGCCTATTTACGTCCCACTGCTGGGCACAGGCCTCCTCTGAGGGTTTTAGTGCAAGGGAATATCCGTTGCGCTGCCCCAATGCGTGTAGGCGAACTTCACATGTCTTCGAAATATTGTTTTTTCTTATTTCTCAGACATGCAGGTTTCCTCACAATGTTTTCCTTCACCGCCGAGCACGTGGTAAATCAGCACTTAAAATTGCAATTAACAATTTCATTGGTGCCGGCGGGGATCGAACCCGGGTTGCTCGAGTACTGTGAAGCTTACAGCTAGCGCTAACCATCTGAGCTACCACGGCTCATCTGGTTTATGGCAGGCGAAAAATACATACACTGGTATGATGACGAGAAATAGCATCAAAGTTGCAAGACGTTTGCTACTGCGATCGTTACTCCGCCTGCCAAGCGTGGAGGGTACGCCCGTGACGTCATGGCCGAAATCGACCATGATATCAGTCACAGCCCACTTTCGCACTCTCTTTCACTCACAAGGACTGTTCCTGCCATCCATTATTTTCCTCTCTCTTATACACTCAACTTCTTTACTTTTCTTTCTCCACACATTGCTCTCTCTCTCTCTATCTCTCTCTCTCTTCCACTCACACACTTACTCTATCTTTCTCTGTTACCTGTGCATCGACGCGGAGTCCAGTGGCGCCGCAAGCGTGCGGCTCCAGCATGTAGTAGGGCGGAGCGCCCGGGTAACGCCACACCGCCACTGCGTGCGGCATCGACCACAATATCCCGTGAGTGTGATCTTCAAAGAAACGCTCTAGTGCGCACCTGCCCATTTTATCCATTTATTTGAAAATGAGAAAGTCAATTATACTATGATATGTATAAAAAAATAAGTTACAGCCTACATATATTCCACTGCTGGACATAGAAATCCTCTTATTCCCAAAGCTTGTTAGCGGTCTTCACAGTTTCAATATCTGCTTTCATAAACAAAAGGTTTATGTCCAGTTGCGTAATGTCTAAGACAATGGGTGAATTTAACTTTAATTTACCTTACTGTCATTTCCGAGGGCTCCTTCTGTTCAAGTTTACCAGAGTATACGGATTGCAAGTCGTATCGAACGTAATTTACGCCAAGTAAAAATCGTTTCAAGACCTGGAAAATATCATCTTTAAGACATATTTGAAGGGGAAACACCTTAATAACCTATATATTTACATTTTTAACTATTTCAATACTACAGTGGCCAGAGGCATTCAAAGCACACAGTTCACTTGATGGTAAGTGGATGCTGTGGCCCATACGCACCTAACACCGAGGATAGATTTCTGGGTGAAGAATAGAAATCCAGATGCTTTGTTGCCACTGAGGGCTAATGAGGAATGCCTTGTTTTCTTTACGCGCGACTGAACGGAGAAGGTTTATGCGTTTAGGGTGAGAGGTTGTTTGTTTGTTGTCTCCAAAATGATTTGACTGGTTTATATAAGGTTTTCAGTAGAGTGTTTGTGATTTATTGGCGATGGTTCTTAGGTAGGTGGTAATATGTTACCACGCCAGGGGGCGCTGCAATAAAACAAATGTTCCCATTTATCTCTATCACGATTTGACTGATTTAGATATGGTTTTCTATAAAAGATTATGATTTATCGGCGATGGTTCTTAGGTAGGTGTTATGGTGCTAATTTGCCAGGGGGCACTGCAATAAACATATTTGTGGCAACGAATGTTCCCATTTTTCTCCCAAACGGTTTGACTGATTTAGATATGGTTTTCTGTAAAAGATTATGATTTATCGGCGATGGTTCTTATACGTGTAAATTCTGCTTCGTAGTAAAGTTACAGCTTATATAGGTCCCAATCCTGAGCACAGGCTTCGTCACATTTCTGAGAGGGTTTTAGGGCAAGGAAATGTCCACCTCGCTGCCTCAACGCGGGTTGGCGGACTTCAGTTGTTTTCAAAGTATGTCCTCCTCTTATCCTTCGTAGTTGTTATTAATAGCTAAGCCACGCGACAGCTTTTGCTGTTGCAAGTATGGCCCAATGCCTCGTTCTCGACGCCTCGGCAGTCTTGAAGGTTCGAACCTGTCCATCTTTTGGCTACGCGTAGACAGCGTCTAAGGGTGCCTCTATAGGTCCCATAGTGGTAATGCCGGAACAGAGCGACTCATCGACCACGTCAAAATGGCTACAGATTCCTTGCCACAGCAGATCCCATCGGCGATTGTAACGCCCACCACGCCAAATAGCTCGGTTCACGATTAATCAATCTTGCGGGGAGATCTGTTCATGATTTTTGCCTTGGCATATGGTCTGACACAACTGGTTACTTCGCTTACGCGGAATTCAGATGTGGAGGATTATTCACCTTCCATGTTGGATCTTCTGCTGACCTCTCAGCGGGACAGATATCAGGTCTCCGTCAGCGCCCCTCTTGACTTCTCGGACCATTGTCTAGTCTGGACTGTGATGCCACTCACGCTGAAATCGCGGTTGGATTCTGCATGCTGCCGCCGTATTTGGCACTATAGGTCGGCTGATTGGAATAGAATGCGATCTTTCTTTGCATCCTACCCTTGGGGTCGGGTTTGCTTCTCGCCGAACGATCTCAATTGATTTAATCATTGTTGATGCTAATTATGTCGCTGATGTGATACTTTCAGGTATGGAACTTCTTAATTCTTCCTCTGTGGTACCCATCGGAGGCAGATCTCAGCCATGGCTTGGTCGCTCCCGTAAAATAACATCACGCAATAAGCAGGGGTCCTACCGGGCCTGTGCTGACGCATCAACGTCCCAGGATGTAAACACCAGTGCCCTTAAAAAGAAGTATAATTCCGTCTCCAGGTCCTTCAAACGAGTCATTGCCAAGGCTAAGCCATAGCACATAGGCAGAATTGGCGAGAAACTCGGTCACCTTCCTTCGGGAATGCACGGGCATTCTGGTCTCTCGCCAAGGCTGTCCAAGGGAACTTCTGTCAGCCATTTCTTCCATCTCTGCAGAGGGAGGACGACTCATTAGTCTATACCGCAAATGAGAAAGCCGATCTGCTAGGCTGTTTATTTGCGTCCAACTCGACTCTCGATAACGGGGGGAGCAAACCATCGACCATCGTGCGGTGTGAGTGCTCCATACCGTTCGGTTTGCAAGGTACTCCTGTCTCTGGATATCCACAAGTAGAGAGCCTGACGGAGTTCCCCCAATTGTGCTGAGGACGTGTGCGTGGACGTGGACGTGCGTCTTTTCCGATACTCCTACTCCCTAGGCGTAGTTCCGAAATCATGTAAGACGGCCTGCATCCACCCGATCTCTATAAAAGGCAACTGCTCAGATCCGTCTAACTACAGGCCTATCGCCATCACATCATTGTGCTCCAAAATAATGGAATCCATTATAAACTGCCAGCAGATGCGGTACCTTGAGGATCACCAGCTGATTAGTGACCACCAATACGGTTTTCGACGGGGTCGATCAGCTGGTGATCTTCTGGTCTACCTGACTCATAGATGGGCGGAGGCAGTAGCGTCCAAGGGGGAGGCATTGGTTAGATTGAATATTACGAATGCCTTCGATCGGGTTTGGCACAAAGCGCTTCTTTCGAAGCTCTGTTCCTATGGGTTTCCCGAGAATTTGTGCAATTGGACCACCAGCTTTCTTGCAGATCGCAAAATCAAGGTCGTTGTAGATAGTACATGCTCCGATTACAAGCTTATTAATGCTGGTGTTCCACAAAGCTGCGTGCTATCACCAACGCTGTTTCTTCTGCATATCAATGATATGTTACAAACCGGAAACATTCATTGCTATGCGGGTGACAGCACTGGTAATGCTCTATACACCGGCCGTTCCAATATTTTTCGAGAAAACGTCGCCGAGTACCGGAACAAACTTGTGTCTGAAGTCGAGACCAAAGAGAATATAATCACTACGTTTAAGAGGCGGGACTTCCATAGTAAAAATAATTACATGAAATTACGCCAAGCTACTCTACCAACATCAAGATATGACATTTAGTTTTGAGAAACAGTGGTGACAACATTGACGAATTACAATAGTGCTGTAAATGCCTATCCTCGAATAATTTTATCGATATAACCTTTATCGATATATTGTTTATCGATATTTTTACATAACAAAAGTTAGATCTCTATACTGAATTATTTATGAGAAATAAATTTTTTAACGTGTGGATTGAGTAAAAATGTCGATGAGGATAAGAAATCAATGTATTTTACACACAGTAATTTGTAATTATATCTCTATACTTAGGTACAAAAATATGTATAAAGAAAATATAAAACATAAAACGCACTTTTATACTAGAAAAAATAAATGACGACTCCGTAGCGCAGTGGCTAAGCGTTTGGCTGTGGCATTGCAGGACCGAGGCTTCCTTCCCGCACTGAACAATTGTTGCTATGCTGTAAAATAAATAGTCTGCGTCTAGATGCTTGTTTTCAACGTTAGTTTTTTTTAAGGGTAAAAATATTGGGTTTTTAAAACTGATTGGATTAAATTGCTTTTATGTGTAACAAATACTATGTACGAATCGCTAGGCTTCCTCACAGAGGTACCTACGTACATACTATTCGCAGAGATCGTTTACTAATTGTCGCTTTCAAAATGAGTGCTCATTATAGCTAATGTTTGTATAAAAAAAAAATATTTATAACCAGGTAATTACAAATAACTTTGAGTTTATTTATATAATCGAATTCTTACCAAAATGTGACTTTAGAGGTATATTATCTTTTGCTACATGTAAATGAAACCTAAATAACATACGCATTATTGTGGAAGTTTAAATTAAATCCACTGAAGAAATGCATGTGCCAGCTATTTCACCCATTGCTTGCATCTGAAAAAATAATTTAAATAAAATCACATTTTTATTGAACAAATAGAATGTTAGCATTCAGAATTGACTGTGTAGTTTCTAAGTATAGTTCGTTTCGGATTGCCATACACTCGAACTATCAGATTTAGGAAATAGTGTGTTTATATTTGTGCAAGTCCAAAGTCCTAGTGCAAAAGTTGGATAGGCCAAAAGTTGGCTAGTCCAAAAATGTACTCGCGTTAAATATCATATTACTATTAAAGTTGAAATCACCACATACCTTTCATCATCTAAGGGAAATATTGCTACGAATAGTCTTTTCTTGTTATCATTTTTTCCGCTTCTTGCACCATTTAATTGGAAAGTTTTATAATGCATACTAAATTTCTTAACAATTCTGTAAATGAACAACGGCTCCTATAGCAAAATTAAAAGCAATCTTAATTAATAAAATATATACAAATATAATTGTTTGATTTGACATTTGAACCTATTTTTCATTTGACAATGTCATTAATAGACATATTACGAAAAGCAGAAAGAAGAGATAACCGTCATTAAAATTTGACCCGAGTAGTACATATAATTTTTACTATGGAAGTTGCACCAGCCTGGTCGAGACTTTGTTGAACAAAGTCTGAGATTGACGGCGACTAAATCTAGTCCAGCTTAAAGCTCAGAAGACACAAGTTTGATCGTTTACCGCTAAAGAGCTCCTTTTACGTATCTCCCCAGTTTCAAGGCACTCCCCTTGTTGTCTCAGCCAGTATAGGGATCCTAGGCGTCGACATATCGCGTGACGTTCAGTTTCATGGTCACTTGGAAGAGAAGGCCAAATTGGCTTCTAAAAAGCTTGGCGTGCTCAGCAGAGCGGGACAGTATTTCATGCCGGCACACCGTCTGCAACTTTAAAAGGCGCAGGTTCGGCCTCACATGGAATACTGTTCCCATCTCTGTGCTAGGGCTCCCCATTGCCAGCTCCATCCAACACAGAGCGGCTCGAATCGTAAACGACTGAGTCGCTTCTGATCGGCTCGATTCATTTGAGCTACGAAGAAATATTGCATCCCTTTCCATTTTCTTTCGTATCTACCACGGGGAGTGCTCTGAGGAATTGTTCGGATTAATCCCAGCCACCAAACTTCACGAATACATCGCGGCAAAACTTCCACACCACCTGGAAGCTTGGCGATCCATCACTGTACGTTTCACTAGGAGTTTTCGTCCGCGTACAACCTCTCTGTGAAATAGTTTACCACCAGCGATTTTTCCGGACCGATAAGACTTATTGACCTTCAAGAAAAGAACTTATTCCTTTCTAAAAGGCCAATAACGCACTTGCAATTCTAGGTGTTGCAGTTGTTCATGGGCGGCGGCAGTCACTTACCATCAGGTGAGCCGTATGCTCGTTTGCCCCTTTTCCTATAAAAAAAATGAATTGTATTGCTTTACATAAGATGAAAGTCATAGCACAATTCTAGAAAGTGAACTGTGGAAGTTCTGGGGTACAAGGAGCCTTTTACAAATATTTTTTGGTATCATTGGCTATCGAATATTATGCTATGCCAAACTTAAAAAAAAACTTATTTCAGAAATAAATATTATTAAAACAAAATAAAAACATTTTAACTTGTTTGTAAAATAATTGTTTAAAATATTTTTTGAACATCAATTCCACACTGGAATTATATAGAAGCGATTTACATACATACATAACATACATACATTGCACATGGAATATTGTCAAGACCCAAAATAAATATTTGAAAAACATACAAATACTTGTTCCGTACGGAATTCAAACTAGTGCTGACACAATACGATATACCACTATGGTACAATGCCGTCAAATTCAATTCAGGACCTCCACACTAAGGCCTCAACACTATCATATCTTACCGTTTATCTTCGTGCAAAGAAAGATCTAGCTGACCTGCAGAGGCAGTAAAACGTCTTCCCCGGGCCGGAATTCATATCCGAGAGAGGAAAGTGAAGCGGAGAACAGCTGGCTGCCGATGGCCATCACTTCGTCAACGGTGCGACGCGTCCACAGCGGCGGTCGACGTATGTGCGACATACAAGCGCCCGCTATAGCGCCGCAAGCTGATTGTAGTATCGCGTCACGACTGAATCTGTAATAATTTAGTAGAATAAGGGCCTAAGTTAATCTCACTGCTGAACACTGGACGCAAAATGGGGAGAATATCTTTAAGAAGAAATCACGAGTTGATGGAGATTAATGGTTATTTATGTAAAAGACCTATGTTCAACAGTTGACTTGTGATGGTTAAATTATAATGATCTCATGATAGAGTACAAAATATGTATTTGCTATTCCAGTGAACATTAGTTGACTTTGTTTTACAAATAATTTTAATTTCTGAGGAATGCTGTTCCTCAGGATATTGGCCTCCTTCAAGCACGACGAAATCAGAACTTTCTTACGATACAAGCCATGTAGTACCACCATTATGTTTTTATATCATTATCTACAACCTTAAATTCAAATCATAGAAACATACCAAATATGTGAACTACTTACTTAACCAAATCCGGTGGCCTCGTTCCTCTCAGTATAGTTCTGCCGCGAGCCGTTTCCACGTACGCCGTCAGTACTTTCCACTCGTAGCCCTCGTCTGGTACGGTGCCCTGGGGAGTCACTGGCCCCGGTGTCTTAGAGAACTCCCAGAACACTTTTACCGACGATATGGAATACCTAGTAAGGAATTATAATAATAAAGATCAAATTAAATAGTAAAGTTACAGCCTATATACGTCCCGCTCCTGTGCACAGCCTCCTTTCTTATGATTTCTGAGAGGGTTTCAGGGCAGGGAACGTGATATCCAACGCGTTACCCAAATGCGTTTTGGCGGACTTGTCTTTTCTTTGTCGACATATCTTCGAAAAATTTGTTTAAATTCTCAGGTTTCCTCACGTTCTCCTTCACCGCCGAGCAGAAAAATGGTATGTACTGGTACTATAAATATTTGAGTCCGCATCACGACCCCACATGTTTTCCAAAAATGTAGGTTTCTCACGATCTTTTTCTCAGACTCTCACGTGGCAAATATTTGCATGCCGCTTGCATGCTTGCTTGCTTCAGCGGCTAGGATTCACAACTAGGATTGAACTTAGGGTTGCTTATAAATAAAGCACAGGGCTCCTAAGTTACCACGTCTTTTTGTTACAAGAAATATTTGAACAATTCATCCATTCATCCATTACAGCCTATAAAAGTCCACCGCTGAACATAGCCCTCATGGATTGCCTTATGGGGAGACTACAAAAGTTTTTTTATTATTTTGACGAGTAATTTATTTATAAGTTACCTGTTAATTCCGGGCCTTTCGAGCATTTCCACATTTTTCTTGATGGTTTCAGCCAGTTGGTCCACAGTGGAAAACAGGACTAAGGCGGCAGCTCCACCGGGTGAGAATTTGCCGGTAGGGCCCACGGCGTGAGGATCCCATAAACAATACGACTTGTCGTCTGCGGCCTTCCACACACCAACGCAGTAACCTTTTGCGCAAACCACACCATACTTATTCTGCAAAAGATGCAATTGATTATTAAAAAATATTCAAATGCAATGAACCAAGTATGAGGTAGAAATTACAGATGATGTTATAATTTTTTTTACTATGTAGTGGCAGTGTAAGAATGTCCACACGATAGTGGAGATTCTTACACTGCCACTACTTTACATTGTGTATCGTCCTATGGGTGTAGTAAGAGGCGACAGAGGGAAACAGACCAGGAGATTGGCAACAGCGTTTTCCTAATAAGAACTAATAACTTAAATTGAATTTTTTTAACTGGCTTTACGGCTCTGGGTTCTAGCCCTTCTAACACATTTTATTTTTTTGTTTGGGAGTTGCAATGAACGTTGCAATTGTAAATTTATTAATTAAATATGATAGATCGGATTAGCGATAGTATTTGCGCGGATATAGATAACACTAAGGATTATTACTGTATAAGTTTGAAAACACTACAAGGTGTTCTACTGAATAGGAGAGAAAGTTGTTTATCACTTACAGTGAACATCCGTACTGTTAATTGTAATTTTGATTCATTTCTTGTTAAATTTATCTATAGATGTAATCGTTCTGACGGAGTGCTGGTTAGACAGTGATTTCAATATACCAGAAATTGACGGATATAAGATATTTCGCACTAAGCATTTAATTAATCAAAATTATGGAGTAATCATATACGTCAAAGATATATTTCAAGTATCTTCATACGAACCTACATGTCATGAAGGAAATATGCTGGTATTAAAACTTAAAAATTATATTTCCATTTTGTGTACATATTATCGATCACCATGTTTTCAGAGTTTAGGAGGAGTTCAGTGACACACGTACAGAATAATTATACACATACAGATAACGAAAAAATAATATAATGTTGCGTTTATTGACACTTGTCGGTTTGGCTGTAAACACTTATAATTATAATTTTACTGAAAATACTAGAATAGCCTATCTATCGATAGGTGTGAAATCTTGTCTCGACTAAAAGTCAAATCTTCTAATTCCCAAATACTTGAAATGATCACAAGTATTCCGTATTCGAGTGGGCTTAAATTGACAGTAGTTTATTTAGTTCTAGTGGATGCTAAGTGCTACTCGAAAAACTTTCCCATCGCTTTTTGGTACTTAGAACTATGAGACCAGTCCACTGCAGTTTTATCTTACTGAGCCCTTGCCTTAATGGAAATTGATATACTCGTAGATCAGTTATCATGTACATCTCAGAATACCAGCGTAAAATAGCAGCTTAACGCTGCTGTATTTCGTATAGTGAGTGTAGAGATCCGGAGACCCTTTTTACTGGAAACGAGGCATTCCATCTTAGTCCTCACGGGTGACAACGCTTCTGCATTTTGATTCGTAATCGAGGATAGATGTAGATGTCTATGAGCCGCAGCAACCACTTACCATCAGGTGGACTGTGTGCTCGTTTGTCATCCTTATCATGTAAAAAAAACATTGCCTCATCCACAGATTCATATTTATCAACATCTGCTACAGATTACATCACGCAGAAAACTAAATATCAATGTATGAGTAGACTAAACTTAGATTATAAGCACGATTTTATTACTTACAGATTCAAAAAATCTTTCTAGTCCCCTCTTTAGACTAAGCACGCCTCCAGTTTCGCTGGCTTTAATATCCCCCTTCACTACATCTCCTTCAACCTCAAGTCTTACCTGTTAAAATACAATAATAATAGAATTGTTAATCACAGAGTTTAAAATATCCAAATCCTCACTTGTACGTGTCCTTAAACGTGTTATATTTACTATCAGAGTTCGGTAACTCGTACTGGAAAACGTAACCCTTATAAGATTACTTTGTTGTCAATCCATCCGGTTGCCTCAGAGTCGCATTCCAATCATTTTATTCGTGAGGCAGATACTTATGCAGCCCCACCCCCCTCTCGCTATCGAGTCCGCAGGCTGAGAAACACTCTCTCGGACCCGCCAAATAAAATCTCAACCGACCTGAACTGCCTCCTGGCGGCTCAGGCCGACTCTTCTTAAATTTGCCTAAGTAGGCTCTTCCTCAGCGGCTCTCTGTAGCCGCCTGCGCCCTCTTCTCCCAAAAGAGGGTCGCGTCCGATCCGACGAAGCGGCTTAATCGGCCAATTGTCAGTCCCCAAAGGCGGTTTTTAGCGACCCTTTTTGCCTAGCTGCCCTGGAAAGAAGGTTGTGTTTCTCTAGTGTATGCATGTATGTATATGAACATTGTTGTGTATGTCTATTTCTTTGGCACGCCCTGTAGCCTGAACGGCCTGATGGATTTTAACACATGGGGTTTCGTTAGATTTGTAGAGGTGTGGAAGTGACATAGAATATATATTTTTTTATCTTTTCAGTAAATTTACGCAGTCTAGTCTACGCAGCTAGGACTTGCGTGAAGGTTATAGGTATAGTGCGAAAAAATTTCAAGTTACAAAATTACAGTAGGTGGCGCGCGTATCGTAACGACAAATTTATTTGAAAGTTGTATACAACTTCATTGAATGTATTATTAGTAATAATTTTACAATATAACTCTTACATATTTAAACGATATTTCCACAATTATTTCTTATGCGGCAGCAAGTCAATAACAAAAGTTAAAAGCGACTCTCTCCTTCTTAACTTCTCGTAGGTACCCAATACAATCGCACACTATTACAAACGCAATAAAAAAAACATAAATTAGAAAAGAAGTAGGTATATTACAAAAATCAGGCACTGGTTGTGTTTGGAACTTGGTAGATACTCGCATTGGTATCCACGGGCGTGTCGTCAATACAAGGTAGTATCACTTCGTAAGTTCCCCCGCGACAAAATAGTCAGTCTTGAATCTGAGCCATGATGGTTAGTATTGCTTAATTTCATAACATGCGTTCCTCTAAAGAGTTTTTAAATTATAGTATTCTCAATATGTTTGCTTTATATAGTTTTGAGAAACGCAGTCTATTCACAAATTTTTGTGAATTAGTTATTGAAAAAACAAGTACCAATTTCTGTGAGGCTAGAGGAAATCAAAATCAGGTTGCTCACGTATTATGAAATGAAGGGCTAATGCCATAAACATGAATTATCGCAGCTCTTGTACATATAAGGTATAACTCAATTCAAGTAAATTTAACAACTATACAACGCATCACCCACTACGTCGTTGACAATGGATTCGAATCTCAGACATAGCCATAGACATATTTTGTCTATAATACAAAATTTTTGGTTTTCTGATCGGCAGGCTAAGCCAAGTTGACTTTTAACAATCATTTATGCTAGTAGAAAGTATATGGTAAGGAGAGTAGTAAATAAAGTAGTAAATAGAGTAAGTAGATTGTCTTCTATTAAATTGACGATTGAAGAAAGCCTATTTGGCCAAGCCTGCTGGTTATGACACTGTAAGTACGATTCTATCTAGTAAACGGTGATTAAAAGTATGTGAAACGAATGAAGAGAACAAAATAAACAAAACGAACGAGACTCATAAAACAAATGAAACAATAAAACGAATGAAGTGCGTACAAATCAGCCACAGGCACAACATAATTTTATCAATTAAACTCACATTGAAGTTGGTGACGTGGAACTCTGGTTGCACTTCGTCGGGCCTGAGCTGCGGTGGATTGGCGGCGCGCGGTAGCGACGTCGTGTACAACCGGTCGCCATATTTCAATATGGCGTCTATCAACGCCGGCTTCCAGTGGGTGTACGGCTCGATATGTTCCACTACGATGCCCATTATTGCATTAGCCGAGTCCTAGAATTAAAACAAAAATTGTTAAAGGCTCAACATACAAGCAAACAAGAGAAAAATAATTTAAATATTAGTATAAATTAATCTACAAAACCACAAAAACATGAAACTACAAAATAAAGCAATGAAAATTCCAGCACCCATGGTCACGGAGGGGACTGACTACCTACAATTTTTGTTTTTGTTTTAATTTTTGTTCCGATCTACGCAGAATGAGCTTACAGTATCTTGAAGTCAAAAAAAGAATGATCGAAATCGGTGCACCCAGAAAAAATTTCGAAGGTAACACATAAAAAAACATACAGTCGAATTGAGTACCGTCTGCTTTTTGAGGTCGGTAAAAAAGATTTTGTGTGCGATCATAAATGATTAAATGCGTAAAGTCGTCTATTTCAAACCTGATTATCCCTATTCGGCGGATCCATGAAGTAGTTCTCATTCTGAGCTAAGCGACCCCGCAATGACGCCACCGCGCGCCCCACTCGCGTGAAATATTTCCCCATAGCAGAGTCGTCTAATGGCTCGATGAGAACATCTTCTTCGGTTGTTAAATAAAAAAATGATTAATGTTATCTATGGTTTACTGTGATAAATTATTATTATTATTTATTTAATTTCAAGTATCTAGTACTCATTATTACATTCACTTTTTCAGTATTATGATATTATAAAATTTTAATTAAATACTCTATTATTATATAAACATTGCATACATGCATTAAAATTATTATCATTATATATTTATAATTAGCACATGCATCCTACAACAGTGCAGTGTTACAGATAGGGACAGTACACTGTCACTTATCATTTTTAGAATACCGTTGGTGCTGGCCCTAACCCTGCGCACAAGAGATGCAGCTCTTTTACGCATAGTTACGTAAAATCAATTAAACAGTCAAAATATCATAAATGATAATGTTATAAACGATTCTTTTTCGACAAGTGTTTTTTATAGAATAAGAATGAAAAGCTATCACACAGTCCACCTTATGGTACATGGATGCTATGGCCCATAGATATCTACATCTATCCTCGATAATCAATCAAAATGCAGATACATTGTCAAATCTGAGGACTAAGATGGAATGCCTTGTTTGCAGTGAAAAGGGTCTACGGTTCTCTAAGCACACCGTACGCAACACAGCAATCTGCTGATTCACGCTTGTATTCTGTGAGACCGTGGTCCTTCTCCGGTTGAGCCGACCCATTCGTACTGCAACTATAATATAGCTGCAGCATGGTTCTACCACGAAAAAAACCTAAGTCTTGTAAACAGATTTCGCAATATATTTTCGCAGTGCGATAATAAAATCCATAATTCTATTTCGCAGCATCAGTATTTTTATCATCTTCTATGGCTTCTATATAGATTATATAGATTAACTCTCGCAGAACCAGACGTCTCGCACCTTCGGCGCTACTTTCAGTCACCATTCTTGATATTTCACGTCTGGAGTAAATGAGATGGTCATACTACCATCTATAAGAAGAGATAAGATCCTTCTGGCCATCGATATATATGTACTACGCACTAGATTTCGCATTCCGGACATTCACTGTGTTCAACTGAACTGTACTGCAATCCGTGAACCTTACGAGTACTTCAGTGTCATTTAGCGTGGTTTCAATATTCATGCAGTGTGGAGCGGCTCTAATAATACGAGATTTCAAACTAAAGTTTAATCCTGGACGTAAATAACAATTCAGTGTTCAAGTAAGTAAAATGATTTGTAGTTCAAGTGAATAAATAGGTAATAATATATCAACTGCGCATGCGCGGCTCTACTATCTCCTGCGCAGGCACGAAGACACAGAATAGCGCACAATTTTTGTTTGGAATGACTTCTGTAGTACGTAGTACATATAACTCAATATTTCTGGCATTTATCATAGTCTCGTAGTCTCTTATAACACCCACGTAAGTAAATGGGGTAATTGATCACGTTACGCCGTCCCTACATAATTTTATCTATTATCTTCTTTCTGTGGCTATGTAAGTATTAATAACCTTCTTCATCAGCAGCCTCGTCCTCGCCAGCCTTAGATGATGGCGTCTTCTTCTCTTTTAACACTGATGTGAGCTCGTTTATCACTTTCACTGGATACAACTTACAAGGAGCCAGGCATTGCTTCCGGTCTAGACCTCCTTGGAGGGCTATAACAAAGAAAATATGAGTAAGGTTAGAAAAGCTGGAGAGAATGATTGTTAATAGTACGTACTACGTACTAAATCAGCGTTTTATTCAAAGAGAATATAATCACTACGTTTAAGAGGCGGGACTTCCATAGTAAAAATAGTTGCATGAAATTACGCCAAGTTACTCTACCAACATCAAGATATGACATTTATTTTTGAGAAACAGTGCTGACAACATTGACGAATTACAATAGTGCTGTAAATGTCTATCCTCGAATAATTTTATCGATATTACCTTTATCGATATATTGTTTTTCGATATTTTTACATAAGAAAAGTTAGATCTCTATACTGAATTATTTATGAGAAATAAAATTTTTACCGTGTGGATTGAGTAAAAATGCCGATGAGGATAAGAAATCAATGTATTTTACACACAGCAATTTGTATTTATATCTCTACAATTAGGTACGAAAGTATGTATAAAGAAAATATAAAATAAAAAACGCACTTTTATACTAGTAATTAATAAAGTAAAAAATAAATGACGACTCCGTAGCGCAGTGGCTAAGCGTTTGGCTGCGGCATTGCAGGACCGAGGCTTCCTTCCCGCACTGAACAATTGTTGACACAAAATGAACCCTAATTAACATAAAAATAAATTGTGGAAGTTTAAAGTCCACTGAAGAAATAACAGTTCGTTTTAGTTGGGTTCATATGCAATGTTTGTCACAAATAAGTCTTAACATGTGAATCTTTTCAATTGGTACATGTGCCAGCTATTTGACCCATTGCTTGCATCTGAAAAAATAATATAAATAAAATTACATTATTATTATTGAACAAATAGAATGTTAGCAGCCAGAATTGACTTGTAGTTTCTAAGTATAGTTCGATTCGGATTGCCAAACCATCGAACTATCAGATTTAGGAAATAGTGTGTTTGTATTTGTGCACACAATCGTACACTATAAAAACATGTCCTACATAGATGGCTAGTCCAAAAATATACTCGCGTTGAATATCATATTACTATTAAAGTTGAAATCACCACATACCTTTTATCATCTAAGAGAAATATTGCTACGAATAGCCTTTTCTTGTTATCATTTTTTCCGCTTCTTGCACCATTTAATTAGAAAATTTTATAATGCATATTTAATTTCTTAACAATTCTGTAAATGAACAACGGCTCCTATAGCAAAATTAAAAGCAATCTTAATTAATAAAATATATACAAATATAATTGTTTGATTTGACATTTGAACCTATTTCATTTGACAATGTCGTTAATAGACATATCACGAAAAGCAGAAAGAAGAGTAACCGTCATTAAAATTTGACCCCTGTAGTACATATAATTTTTACTATGGAAGTTGCACCAGTCTGGTTTTATTATTAGCGCTAAATAAAGCTAAGAGCTAAAAGTCATGTTTATTGTTTTAAAACCAAGTCGTAATTGCAATTGTATCGAATGGTTTAACAATCTCATAATATATAAGAATACGTAAAATTCAACCGACAACTTGTAACTGGTGATAACTCCAAGACACTCCACCCCCGAAACAAAAAGAGCGGCTTATCTTCAAACGACTGCACAAATTTTCTTCAAACACTAGCTGACCCGGCAAACTATGTTTTGCCATATACATTAAAATCGCGATTAAATAACAGGGATTGATTGTAGAAGGGTGAAAATTTGAACTTTTATGTATTTTTCAATGCTAAGTCATAATAAAATAAAAATAAAAAAATTGTCAAAAAATTAAAAAAATATTTCGGGTTGGGTCAGCCTTATCATTTAGGGGTTTGAAAAATAGATGTTGGCCGATTCTCAGATCTACCCGATATGCACACAAAATTTCATACAAATCGGTTGAGCCGTTTCGGAGGAGTTTGCTAACAAACACCGCGACACGAGAATTTTATATATTAGATAATATTTAAGAACACTCTCGCTTAAGACACCTTTCAAACGAAAAAAAAAAAACCTAATCAAAATCGGTTCATCCGTTCAGTAGCTACGATGCCACAGACATACACGCAGATGCACAGATACACATATGCACACTACAAACATATAACACCCCTCTGTTCTCATCGGGGGTTTAAAAACCAACCAAACCAATCAACAAATTTAAGCAGATTTCAGAAAAAAGTAATATTATTTTAGTAATGGTATAACACGCAACATTATGAACCCAATTAATTTAAAGGTATCTTTTATGTAATTGTACAAATTCTACTTAATTTTTTTAATAGGATAGGGTGACAAACGAGCACGCAGTCCACCTAATGGTAAGTGGTTGCTGTGACCCATAGACATCTACATGTGTCCTCAATAAAGAATCAAAATACAGATGCGTTGTCACCCGTGAGGGCTAAGATGGAATGCCTCTTTTCCAGTAAAAAAGGTCTCCGGTTCTCTACACTCACCATACGAAACACAGCAGGTTAATATTGTGTGGCGATTGTGTAAACTAATAGAGATTGGAATTGAAATTATCCAATCCGATTGTTAGGAAAATCGGCACTCTTGACGCAGTTTTGACAATTAGTTGACAGCTGCGTATTGTGTTTGTACTGCAAAACAGTAACTTTTTATGAATTGTGTTCATATTTTTACGCTGGTATTCTGTGAGAGCGTGGTCCTTCCCCGGTCGATCCAACCCATTCGTGCTACAACTATACTACCAATATAGCTGCAGCATGGCTCTACCACGTATATAATTACAGCAATTTCGTGAAATACAAGCGGGATAAAAATAGGATTACGTTTAGTGATAATTCTCTCTCTCTTATTATTAAGATTATCGTTCAATTTATTTAGAGAAAACCCAGTAACACCAAAATTTAATAACAATTTTTAAAGAATTATAATTTTTAATAAATTTTAATTTGTTATTTTGAACAACCTTCACCAGAAAATTGTGCACAATACCACAGAATAAATAATAGTAGTCACAATATTAAGATAATTGTTGTGACCATACATCCCGTTTTGAGCGGGACAGTCCTGCTCCTAGTTCTCATTTTCACTTTGGATAGTTAAATATTCCATAAATAGTTTTTGTATTTAAAAGCATAATAATTAAAGGGCGTCCTGCTTCGTGGAAAAAAACAAATGGTCACATTACGTGTAGTACTTTTGTACACTATGTGACAATACAAAATACGGGCGCGTAATATGCACGCCCTTACCGAGACAATCGTTTAAATGAAAAAAAGATGTCTGAAGAAAGAACACAATCAAGCATAGATCTGCTAATACTTAGTTTATCGATGAACTCCCCGGGGCTTGCGAACACCATCAACGCAGGCGAGGATTCCGGTGGAACAAACTCCGGTACTGGCTCGGGTTTCTCTTCACCTTCTGCAATAATTAACAAAAGTGAAATATTAAAATGTAAATTTTGAAATATCAAATTTTAAGACATTATTTTCTTATCAATTTCCTATCGAATAAACGTTACATACTGACAAATTTGTAAAAAAAAAGTGTCAAAATTGTCAAATTCATTAATTCAATCACACATACATTACAGCCTATTTAAGTACACAATTTAACATAAGCCTATCCGATAAGATTCATAAGTTGGATATTTGTTATACTTGGCAGTTTTTCAATTACCTAGATTGTTACTGGGGAGACACTGTTCTTCTGGTATCCCTCTATCACGACATACTCATACATAAGGCTAGAATAGTGCAAAGGTAATATTTCTATACATAGTAATTTTACAATTTTGTAAATTCACACAATACAATTTTATAGTTCCACTACACAATTTTGTAATATTTTTAATTATTCTGGACATGATAGAATCCGTAAAAATTGCTAATAGCAAAATTGTACTGCGACTAATACTGTGAACTGTACTAGAAGTAGAAGGAGAAGTAGAGCAGCGATAACGCACGAGGTGCCTAAGCATTGTATTAAGAAATATCCAGACTGAAAACGAGTAGGTAACTCGTTTCCAGTCTGGATATTTCATAACTGAAAATACCACAATATTTTCGGTCGATATTTTATGATATTTAGATAAAACCTTACAACCCTGACTTCTTATACCGCAGTGTAAATACAATTCATATACAATATGTATCAAAAACCCTGTATTTCCGTTAAGTACGTTATCAGGATCATTATTCAAACGTACAGAAATAACTTTTTTTAAATCTCGAACAAATTTTTTTTTATTTAAAAAAAAATGTATGTAGTTATATTACCTCTGCATTGTCTGGGGAGTAAAAGGATTATCAAAGACCCCGCTTTACTTGACTTTAGCGTCGGCTAGTGTCAGTAAGAATTAATAAAAAAAAATTAATAAAATGAAAAAAATATGGTCGAGTTTTAAAAAAAAGTTATTTCTATAGGTTTGAATACTGATCCTGATAACGAACTTAACGGGAACCACAGGGTGTTTGTTACATGTTGTATATTATTACATATATATTCATATATATTATACGTTCATTTATAACATTGTTATACTAGTAAAAGAAGAAGTAGAATGACGTTTTAGGTAGTAGGTGCTTTGGCACCTCTTTGCTCATCGTTTCCAGTCTGGATATTTATTAACTGATAATACCAAAAAATCTTCGAGCGAGGTTTTCAAGTATAGCTTTAGATCAACCCCAAAATTAATTTATTCAAATTGTCCGCGATGTAACAGTCGGTTCTAACCGACTGTGTTACACCACTAACGTGTTTCTAGCGACCGACAGATGGCAGAAAACCTTAAAATTCCTAAGGCCAATTAAGTATCTTACCACCACCGAGTTCTTCGTCTTCTTCTTCTTCTTCGCCACCTTCTCCAGTCATCTCGTCTTTTAGACGTTGCAAGCGAAGCTCATCACCTGAAAGGTTTTTTTAAATAAATATGAGAGCGGTGATACACCTTAAAAAATTCGACTGAGTCAACTTCTGAACTCCAAGAATGTTTTGTGTGAGTTTTAGAATTAGGTAGTGAGTCAAGATAATTCAATGTAGAAGGAGAGGACAAAATTGCGTGAAATTTGCGTGACGTCAAATTTGAGTGGTTTTCTATCATCATTAACATAATCACCATCTTCAACATCATCATTAAGCCTTATCAAAGTCCACTGCTAAACATAGGCGTCTCTCATAAAGTGTCTCATAGGGGGGGTATTTGCCATAGTTACCATGATCGGAAGGCGGGTTAGTAATTGCGGTTTTTTATTGTTATCAGGAAGGTGGTTCTTGGCATAGAACGTCGATCGCCTGGGCGTACGGTGCGTCACTTAGCAGTAAGCGCACGCATCGTGATCGGAGCGACATACTCGGCCATAAGTTGAGACTCGTCTCCGTTAGGTTTTGAGGTCGCTCTGATTCCCTACGAGCTGATCATCCCAGCGCGTGACAGTTACGCATCGCAACCTCATCGCTACATTTAAGATACACTAGGAAGTGAGTTCCTAGGGCCCGGTGCGTCATTATTCAGAGGTGCACGCACCTGTCGGTAAGACATACTCGGCCCTACGTTGAGAGCCGTCTCCGTTTGGCTTCTAGGTCACCGACCCCTAAAAAGATCCTTCCGGTGCAAAATTCGTCAAGATTACTAACATCGTCAATTGTCACAAGGCTCCCAGGACCGGCACATAGAAGTGAGCCGTGAGGAAAGCCCAGGTAATGGGGGAGTCCCCGAAGCCGGAAACCTGCTGCTAAAGAAGCACATGCAGAAGAAGACAACGCAGCCCATCTCCCGTTCCAATTTCTCTCTATATTGCGGGATGATATGACCCCCATTAGAATCCAATACGGATTAAGTACAATAACACCAACACCTACTTACCTTTCTTAATCCTTTGCGCTGTAAGCATTCCTTTCGCCAGGGTTGGGGCAGGATCGAAGGCGACTACCTTCCCGCCTGGCGTCAACCACAGCCCCAGCTGGTGGTAGTCACCTACCAGCAGAGATACGTGCGACGGCTTCGTTGGATCGTTCCACATCTTGAACAGTGCGTCTTTAATTTCTGTAATAAAAAAGTGTAAGAGATATGTATTAATCTCTCCAAAAACTATTCTTACTATCGAACGAATTTCTTACAAGTAACAAATGATGGTGTAATCTTTAATCTCTTTTTTTTTAATCTCTTTTATTTCATTGAGCATTTCACAATTTGCATAAGGTAGGGAGCGACTTTTAAGCACCTTAAGGCACTTGTGTTAGAGACTCCCGCTCTTCCATAGCTATACAAAACTTTCTAGAAACATATAATTACATATTATGCAAAAATAAAGAAGACTAAAAAAACAAAAGTCGTTTAAAATTATTCAACAATAAATGTGTGTGTGTGTGTGTGTTTGTGTGTGTGTGTGTGTGTGTGTGTGCGCGCACGCGCGCGTGTGTGTGTGTGTGTGTGTGTGTGTGTGTGTGTGTGTGTGTGTGTGTGTGTGTGTGTGTGTGTGTTTGTGAGTGTGTGTGTTTTTTGGCAAATATTATAACTTGCAGTCCTTGGTATTTCTACAGTAAATATTAAGATTTTTGTTGACAGAATTATACAGATAGATAGATTGGTTAATGAACTGACGTCTAGCAAATGCAGTTTTAACACGAAAAGAGTTAAGTACAATGTCTTTTCTTCATTTTGGGTCATAAAACAAATCTTTATGCTTTTTTAATATTGTGTGTAAAATATATAATTTTCTTACACTTAGTACATCAGATTTTAAATATAGGCTCTTTGTTGGGAATTTATAAGGCAAAAAGTACATTGTCTTTACTAAGGCACGCTGAGCTCTTTCCAATTGCAATAATTTTGTTTTTGTTGCTCCACCCCATATCGGAAGGCAGTAAGTTAATAACGATTGGGCTAAAGCTACATAAATTTTGTTAATAAGATTATCTGAAGTAATATGTCTAAGCTTTTTAAAAATCCAGGTTATTTTTCTAAATCTACATGTTATTATATCAATATGTTCATGCCAAGTTATACGTTGATCTATAATGATTCCTAGGTACTTGGTTGAAGAAACTTTCGTAATGACAGAGCACTTACAGTTTTGAGATTTGTCAATGCTGCAAGTGTGAATCTTTATGTTGAAGTTATTTCCCGGTTGGGTACTATTTTTAATAGTAAAACAAATATAATGAGTTTTAAGTGCATTAATTGTCAAAAAATTGGATTGAAGCCAGCTTGCAATTTTAGTGAGGCCAGATTCTGTACCTTTACGGATGTCATCCAATGATGTTCCAGTAAAAACTACATCAGTATCATCGGCATATGTGAACACTCGGGCACCATCAACTTTCAGATTACAAAGATCATTGATATAAATTAAAAACAAAGTTGGGCCTAAAATACTGCCTTGTGGTAAACCGTAGGTAGTATATGTGTCCTCACTAATAAACTGATCTATTTTAACTTTTTGTGTACGGTTTAATAAGTAATTTTTAAACATTGTCAAGGTTGTATCCCTTATGCCAATAATTTCTAATTTTTGTAAAAGGATGGGGACACAGATAGCATCAAAGGCCTTTTTGAGGTCTAGAAAGACTGCAAGACATTTTTTACCCTGATCCAAATTATTAACTATGAACGAGCTAAGAGCTAAGATTGCATCTTCTGTGGATTTACCATGTCTGAAACCATACTGACAGTTAGACAAAATATCGAACTTAGTAAGATAACTTAAAAGTCTTGTGTTGATAAGCTTTCAAAAATCTGTTCAAAAAACTTAATTCAAGCTTGTCTTTAGCGTGTTGAATATGGGCAAATCGTTTGATTATTGTATACGAGTATAAAGCAGGAGATCTTAGCAAGCGTGCTGTAATTTCGACGACAATAATAACAGTTGTAACTGTTCATTGTGATTAATGCTATAGGCGGCTCTAATAAACCAATAATAAATTGACCATCAATAATTCAAATAATAGTTTTTTTTTTATTGAAATAGGGTGACAAACGAGCACACAGTCCACCTGATGGTAAGTGGTTGCTATGGCCCATAGACATCTACATCTACGGGTCGAAATGGGCTAGTGGGTTCTCGTACGCCACCACTATACGGCGACAGCATCAGATGCGTCACTATTACTGAAACTATACCGAGCCAAATTAAATTCGTCGATTTACTTGATGGTGAAGTCTGCAACAACATCATCGTAATTTTTTTATAGGATAAGGTGACAAACGAGCAGTCCATCTGATGGTAAGTGATTGCTGTGACCCATAGACATCTATATCTATCCTCAATAAAGAATCAAAATGCAGATGCGTTGTCACCCGTGAGGACTAAGATGGAATGCCTCTTTTCCAGTAAATGGGGTCTCCGGTTCTCTACACTCACCATAAACACAGCAGCGTTAAGCTGCTATTTGACGTCGGTATTCTGTGAGAGCGTGGTCCTTCCCCGGTCGAGCCGACTCATTCGTGCTACAACTATACTACTAATATAGCTGCAGCATGGCTCTACCACGTATAATCATTATAGACAATCACTAATTCTCTCCTTAACAGTTTTACTAGAATAAAAAGTTTTTAAATCATAAATGATTTTTTCTGTCAAATAAAAAAAGACTAACGTTTCAATGGTTTTTCTTTTGTCTCCTCTTCTACCTCTTCCTCTCCGGTTTCATCTCGCTCGGATTCTTCCTCCTCTTCACCACCTTCCTATATATTGGTATAATACACGTTTTATATTTTATAGGTACGTTTCTATACTTTTTATATGGAAGAGCTACGCTACAGCTGTATTGGGGCTGCTGTAGACTTTTGTAGACAAAACTGATCGGGTCGACTGCGGATGCCACAATTTCTTTCAAATAAGTAAGTAACTTTTGTCTATGTAACTTCAATTACGACTTTTGCAAAAAAGAAATAACAATTTTTTGGATTGAAAATTACCTTTATTATTTATTTTAATCTCTTTCTGTACGTATAAGGCTATTGTCTTCTTTAACGATTTTAAACAAATAAAGTAATTGTAAAATAAATGTAAAGCTACGTACATTCCAAGCCGAAACTAAGCTAAAAATTATGTTCAAATTATTGTATGATCACGTACTTTTTTTATAGAATAAGGGTGACAAACGAGCACACAGTTCACCTGATGGTAAGTGGATGCTGTTGTCCGTAGACATCTACATTTATCCTCAATTAAGAATCAAAATGCACCCCTGAGGACTGGAGATGGAATGCCTCGTTTCCAGTAAAAAGGGTCTCCGATTCTCTACACTCACCATACGAAACACAACAGCATTAAGCTGCTATTTTATCCTGGTATTCTGTGAGAGCGTGGTCCTACCCCGGTCCAGCAGACCACATGCTACAACTATACACTAATATAACTGCAGCTGGCTCTATCACGTAAAAAGAACTTAATATGCAATGAAGATACAGACATAATAACAGATCATTATTTGAAGACCTATTTTATACCTGAAGTGGATTTCCAAGTCATGTGTTAATGAACACATTCCTTGGAAGACATTTTATGAAATATTTTATGAGACCGAGACAAAATTTACCAATTAGTAAAAAGTATAAAAAAGTAGAATAATATTTTTCTTTAACTTACTCCTTGTGGCTCGTCAGGCAGACGCAGAGGTAGTGTGATCGGTTCTTCTAATTCAATTGAGAAAGTGTTTGCGCCCATCTCGAACTTCTCAGTCAGGTCGTCTGGCGTCACTTCTTTGCGACCAGTTTTCTTTAAGTGATTGGTATAGTATTCGGCACCGGCGTCTAATAAATTATTAAAAAAGAAAAAAATAAGTAAAATTTCTATAAAATGTAGTTTTTTAAGTAAGCGACAGTAGCCTAATGTTAAAGGTCTGCGAAACTAAAATCTCGTGGGTCCGAATCTTCCTTTCCTTCTACCCTCTGTTCCTAACCACTACTACAATTGCAATCAAGCTATCTAATAACGTTCGTTAAATTTAAACTGATCATTATTAATTTGAAACATTTACATATGAAAACAAATACTTTTATAAAATTATAATAAAACCGTGTAGCACAGGCAAGACAAAAAGAGAAAAGTGTGTATATTGCAATTTTCATTTTTGTTTCTTACATGCTTGACGGTGAAAGATAGCATTGTGCGGAAATCTAAAACAACAGCGGTGCAGTCTCTCACCGTTCCGTTAGTCCCCCAATAATGAGAAAGATGCCTTTGCCCATTGAGAAATTTAGTAGCTATTATTTTACCTAGTGATAAACGCTTTTTTAAATTTCACAGAACGCTAGCAATCTTAGATTAATCTCCGCAAACTTCAAGAAAATTGTTAATTGCAATTTTAATGTCTGATTAACAATGTGCTCGGCGCAAAAAAAAAAATTACGGAAACTATTTCGAGGACACGTAAAGTTCTGTAATTAAAAATGTTAAAATTAAATACCTAAGAAGTTATACATGTGATCTTGGTGCATATGTGGCGGTGGTACAGAAGCTGTAGCCGCTGTAAACGCGGCCGCCGCTGGAAGGGCTATTGTACGTCCCGCCTTATCCTCCTCCTGAATGGCATGTTATAAAATTAAAATCGCAGTTTTAAGTCGTACCTTATATTATTAAGATAAGTTTGCGATAAAAGTTTTTCTTTTATATATAAGAAACAACGGTGAATTTGTCAAATATTTCGAGCAATCTCCTATACACACATAAGTCGATACTTACCGGCACACCAGCCTTTTCAGCTGCCTTGCCGATCGCCGTGTTCTCTCCTCGAGGTCCCATCATGATAGCAGCCGTTCCTTTCGAAATCCACTCGAAAGCTTTGCTCTGTTATATAAAAACAAATGTTTATAGTGATTATCTGCATTTGCATCCATTTTATGTCGACTGGTTTATTTCATGTAGCTGGATATAGAGGCCTCTTCAATTAGATATACATTTTTGAAAGAGAGACCACACTCATCACGCTATAGGACAAAGCAAGTCCTCGTCTCCGCTAATGGTAACCTCTGTGTGATTTTAACCGATAAAAGTTTGACATAACTTATTTATTTATTTATTTATAAGGTACACCAACAGCAAAACACATCAAACATTAACAACAACACGATAACAAAAGTATATATGTTTGCCAATTACAGGTATACACAACATTTACCGTAATGTGTAGCTTATTATATTATAATGGTATTTATTACAAAATAACTTCATTAAGAAAAACCTGACTAAGGAATGAGTGTGTGCTGAGATGGTGAAAAGAAATTGGTCAATTTTTTTTAAAGCATCGGGCAGAGTCGTTACCACAGCAGCATCAAGATCAGTTTAATGAGCGTAGACACAAGAACTCACTGATGCTATTTTTAGTCTAGGATTTGGATTTTCCACCATTTCGGTCGTGATGGCATCGTTGTAATCAGCGAGATGCATTACGTGAGCTGAAGTTGACGTTAATTTCACTGGAAAGGTCAATTGTAAGTCCAAACAGGATTATTTAAGTTTACAGCTGCGATTATAGAGTTGAGATGATTCAAGTGGATCGATTTAGAAAAAAATCCATTAGTCTTACCAAATAAATTTAATTCAATGTTTAAAATATTATCGCTCACTTCAATATAAGCTTAGTTAACTCTGTGATAAAACATCGAAACTGTAATCTATACAAATAAATAAAATTGAAGTATCTGTTTGTAATGTCAAAATTACAGTTTTTTACTAAATGCATATGAAAGTAAATATGGTACCTATAACTAAAATACAATTTTTAAAATTTTTGTCTGTCTGTCTGTCTGTCGGTCTGTCTGTTTGTTCCGGGTAATCTCCGAAACGGCTGGACCGATTTTGACGGGACTTTCACTGGCAGATAGCTGATTTCATAAGGAGTAACTTAGGCTACTTTTATTTTAGAAAAAGAATTAGGGTTCCGCGCAAAAACATAAAAACCCTAACACGCGAACGAAGTCGCGGGGAACAGCTAGTATTTAATAAATCTGCATTTACTATTACACAAACAATAAGGATGATGAAGGTATTTTATTTTCCAAAAGTTATATTATACGAATATTTGCCTGTCGGCTATTCGGTAACACCAGTTGCCATGTTAGAACAACTTATTATTGGACCGTGTTGTGCAGTAATGATATATCCCACAAGCTTGCCAAAATGTAGCATCCAGAGGCACTTCTTAGTGTTCCGTAGCCAAAGTGTAACCAACGGGACCCTATTACTAAGCCTCCGCTGTCCGTCCATCGATCTGTCTGTCAGCGGATTGTATCTCATGATCCGTAATAGGTAGACATTTGAAATTTTCACAGAAAGTGTATTTCTGCTGCCGCTATAACAGCAAATATTAAAAATTAAAATAAATAAAATTATAAAAAATTATTAAAAGGGGTTCCGCTACTAGAAACGTGTATTACAATGGTACGGAACCCTTCATACGCGAGTCCGACTCGCACTCGGCCGGTTATTTCAGTTTATTTCCAAGTATGAAAGACCTCTGAAATATATCAAATAATTCCAAAATTTACATTCACTTTACTTAACATGACTTAATAGGGCTTCTGTCACAAGAGAAATGCATTTATCTTTCACAATCTGAATAAATTTATGTTTTTGGGAAACATTTCTACATAACACGATCCAATGGATTAGATTGATGATCACGCAATCTTCACTAAAAGTAGAGTTCTTAAGTGTAGGAATGGTCGTATATCGCTGTTTTATCAATTTAATAACATTATTTACATTAGTTTGTTTTTTTTTTATAATTGATTCCAGTATTTATCAACACTTAAAGAAAAAGCGCACGAACCTCGAGCTTAGTCTCCGGGGCGCCGATGTCAACGTTGAGCTTAGTAGCGGTGATGGCTACTGGCGATATGTTGAAACTGTCGTCAGATCCCGGTGGTAGATTGGCAAGCACAGCGTCAGCCAATGCATCAGGTCCACCCTTCACTCTGACAAGGCACGCGGTTGCCCGAACCTCATCCGAAGGGTAACCTGATCAAATGTCATGCTATCAAACCCTACTAAAAATTTAGAATGATCTTTTTTTGATGCCGCCGACTACGACATTTTCAAAATGTAGGCTAAAGTTATACTGCAAGACAAATTTTTTGTAAAAGCTTTTAGAAAAATTTACTTCGCATATATACGCGTTATAAAATAAAATGATGTGTCTTACCTAGTATGAAGAGCATCTCCCGCCCTCCCTCAATTGCGTGCACTATCCCCGTCACCACTAATCCCAGCACCGCTACTCCCAACACCAATACACTAGGCAAGACACACCACTGACGATAATACGACACGTGTTTCGCCTCTACACGAAGCATCCTCAGGTGATATAGACTCTACGGTGGCTAACTGCTAAGTGAGCGGCGAGCCAAAACAAGTGCCTTTTATACAGACCGCTGACGCAACCGCTCTCTACTTAAGGAGCGAGCGACTGCGTCATGCGATAAAACATGCGACCAATCACCGCCGGACTTACGCAGCCGTTTGTAAAATTAAAAACAAACCGCCGCGCAACGCCCACCCTCCAACCACGCAACCAATCGCCGAACACCGTGAGGGTGACAAACGACCATATTGCGAGGCTCTCTATTATTAGAGAGCAGGCTTAAAGATATTTAAGAGAGGTGAGTTAGTAACATTTGTTTGTTCATTCAGCAATGCAACGGTACTATTGTTACTTTTTAATATCTCTAACTGTTCCAGCACACACAGCCGCAGCCCTTTATTACACGTATGTCAGACTTTAAAGGAGGGGTCGTTGGCTAGGTTGTGTTCAGTGTCCAAAAGATGTTTGGCAAAATGGGATTTATCGGGATTGCAATTCCTGTACGCGGCTAAATGCTCTTTATAACGTGTCTCGAAATTGCGACCAGTCTGACCCACGTAAACGGCGTGGCATTCGTCACAAACAAGTTTGTAAACACCTGACTTTTGACGAATATTCAACTTATCTTTATTATTACAGATATTTCTAAGAGAATTGTTTGTTTTGAACGCCACATAAACGCCGTTTTGTCGGAGAGTATTAGCTACTTTTTCAGATATGGGGCCTAAGTAGGTCAAACTGCTCACATATCGATGAACACTTTGAGGTTGAACCGCGTACAGAGAGTTGCGAACAACATGCTTTTGTTTCTTTTTAATTAAATTCTTAATGAGATTTTTTGAAAAACCGTTAGAGACCGCTATTTGATAAATTATATTAATTTATTTTAAATAATTTTCTTTACTTAATGGGACAGTGAACAAACGGTTAATGTAACAATAAAAAAAAGCGGCTACTTTATGTTGCCACGGATGACACGATGGCGCGGGAATGACCGTGTCGGTATGAGTTGGCTTTCGATAAATTTGGAAAACATGTGACGATTCTTTTCTTGTTATTGTTAAATCGAGAAAATTAAGGGAACAATGTTGTTCCAATTCAAGTTTAAATTTAATTTTGTCATGGACTCTATTTATTTTATTGAGGAAAACATCCAGTTGTCTCCTTGTGCCAGTTCAGCAAATAATTATGTCGTCTACATATCCATAGTAATATAAGATATTTTGATTGACAACTATATGTTGTTTTTCGAAATTATCCATGAAAATGTCCACCATAAGGGGACTTAGAGGGGACCCCATAGCTTACTCTTCTTTTTGTAGATAGAAACGGTTATTAAACCGGAAATAGTTTTGTTTCATACAGAGAGAGATTAAGTTAAGAAGATCATTTGTTTCCCCGGGATGTAGACGACGTTTTTCAAAGACATCTGCGAGTATACATAAACAGTCAGGGTGCCACTAGTGGCACCGAACACGCGTACTCTACGCGTGACGTATGCAGTACGTGTGTGTTTCAACACCAGTTAAATATAAAAATGTTAGGAAGATGTCAAACCGCAATAGTTCAAACACGCTCCACTTTTAAGACGTATACAGTACAATAGAAAACGGCCTCGCCATCCGAATTTTCCCTCCGACCCATACAAAGTATCAACATCTGTTTTCGGCTGCGAGTGACGTCATGTTTAATAGTAATGTAATTACGTAAGTTGCATTTAGTATCTTTTTTAACAGTCCGCTGCTAGAAGTAGATATCTCTCGTTCTAGGAAGGATCTACCATAACCGCCAAACCAGTAGTAGCAGACGTTTCAAATTATTGTCGCTGCTCCATGCAGCTGGCCATGATATTTTGCACCTGAATTATTCAGGGTTTTTCCTTTTAAATTCCCTTACGACTACATCAACTTTAGCTTACTTGACCAAATCAAAATGCCAAACAGACAATTTTTCTTCATCATCATCAGCCTGTAAAAGAACATTGCTGTACATGTGTCTCTCCAGTTGTAGGAAAGATTTGCCATAAACGTCACGCTTTGGCGAATTGACGATCGCAGTGCCAGGCATCTCGCAACTTTGATGATGCTGTCCGTCGCCAGTCTGGGTATTTTAGGTCTGACGTAAATGCGATGGTTACATAACCGAGGTGGTAATATAATTCGATGAACCGACAACCGATTGGTATGAGATGCAGCCTCATAAGGGTAAGCAAACTGTAAGGTGGACTACCAATAAATAGTGACGAAATGGTGAGACGACATGCAGTAAGTCGATGGATAGTGGTTTGTGGCATTGTTTGGGGGAGAGCGTTCGTTTAGCAGTGGTCTAGTAAAGACCTATAATGATGATGATGATGATGATATCTATACAAATAAATAAAATTGAAGTGTCTGTTTGTAATGTCAAAATTACAGCTTTTTACTAATTGCATATGAAAGTATATACGGTACTTATAACAAAAACACAATATTTAAAATTTTTGTCTGTCTGTTTGTTCCGGCTAATCTCCGAAACGGCTGGACCGATTTTGACGGGACTTTCACTGGCAGGTAGCTAATTTCATAAGGAGTAACTTGGGCTACTTTTATTTTAGAAAAAGAATAAGGGTTCTGTGCAAAAACATAAAAACCCTAACACGCGAGCGAAGTCGAGGGGAACAGCTAGTTTTATATACTTACTTACTTACTTACTTATCTTCACGCACAATCCCTGACGGGGTAGCCAGAGAGAACAGATCGCCAAGTGTCACGATCCTTACATACCTCTTTCGCTTCTTTCAGATTCATTATCTTCTTCATGCATGCACGTCTAGGTATCCGAGTACTTTTGACCCTACCCTCTTCGAGCAATTTGCTCACATGGTCTTCGAAAGTTAGTCTCGGTCTACCTCGACACCTTTTAATATTAACTTTCGCGCTATATATTTTCTTCACCATTCGGTCTTCACTCATTCGCTCAACGTGCCCAAACCACCGAAGCACGCCCTTATCAATTTTTGTGATAAGGTCATCTTTCAAACCTGCCATATTGCGAATCTCTTCGTTTCGCTTTCGGTCGGCCATGGTAACGCCGCACATTTTACGAAGAGATCGCATCTCCACTGCATTCAACTTACTTTTATGCTTCTTCTGGCATACCCAGGTTTCGCTGCCATATAACAAAGTCGGTACCAACACTGCGTTATGTATTGCAAGGCGTGCACTCTTCGCTACGCCTTGCCTTTTGACTAACGCAGTCAGGGCACCATTGACTTTGTTCCCGGCAGCGACACGCCTGTCCACATCTAAATCACATCTTCCATCCCTGCTAAAAGCACTCCCCAAGTATACAATTTCATTTACCTGTTCTAGACATTCCTGATTTACCCATATTTCACACTTCGTTCTCTCTTCGTCCCTTTCAAATACCAGAACCTTAGTTTTATTAGCATTCAAACGGAGACCTTTAATTTCACATTCCTCTTTCATACACGTGACTAAAGCCTGCAGTTCTGCCTCTGATGGTGCAATAAGCACTGCATCATCAGCATACAGCAGACAATTTACTTTAATGTCACCCAATTTCACACCCAAACAACTATCTTTCAGCTTCTGTAAACAGCTGTCGAGATACAGTATAAACAGCCAGGAAGACATGACACAACCCTGCTTTACGCCCGTTTGGACGTCAAACATGGGTGACAGGTCATGCCCTACCCGCACACAGGCTTTACAGTCACAGTAAAGAGACTGCACAGCCCTTAGCAATCGACCATCCACACCATACCCCGGCAACAGTTCCCACATTTTCTTCCTTACAACCTTATCAAATGCTTTCTCAAGATCCACAAAAGCACAGAAAATCTTCTGGTTAGCAGCCAGAAGCTTTTCCGTGATCATGCGGAGAGAAAACATTTGATCCGTGCATCCTCTTCCAGGTCTAAATCCGCATTGTGCCTCCCATAGAAATCTTTCCGATTTCTCTTGCATCCTACGTGTCAAAACCTTCGAGTAAACTTTACTTGCTAAACTGGTCAAGCTGATCGCCCGATAGCATCCGCAGTCAAAATGTGAACCTTTACCTTTATATAAAGGCACAATGACTGCGGATCGCCAATCATCCGGGACATCCCCCGTCCGCCAGCACAAATTGCACAGCAGATGAAAGCTGTCCCAGACGCGAGGCCCACCATACTTGACCATTTCAGCAGTAACTCTGTCTAGTCCCGCAGCCTTACCACATTTCAAACTTCGAATCGCACGTTCAATCTCTTTCATACTGATGACCTCAGTGTCATCGAGGTCCGGGTCTGGCGTACCAGTCACGGCGTCATCCCCGGATCCCTCACTAAGATCATCATACGCATACATTTCTCTATAAAATTCGCTCCATCGCTGCATGACGTCCGATTTTTTTGAGAGGACGTCATTAGTTCTCGAAAGCACTTTGTTCATTCTTAAGGCTGTCGCACCACTCCGGGTCCTTCCAACCTCTTTCCAGAAGAGTTTGGAGTTCTCCTTAAAGTTGTGCGACAACCTTTCGTCCGCTTCCATTCTACACCTTTCACGCACTTCCTCAATCAATGCTTTCGTGTGAACTTTCTGCAGCCTATATCTTTCTTTCATCTTCTCTCTCATATCCTTATCATTACTAGAGGCCAAGTAGTCTAACCATGCTTTCTTCTTCTTTTTTACAGCTTCTTTCACTTCATCATTCCACCATGCATCTCTTCTTTTACTACTGCCTCTTTTTATTGTTCCACACACTTCTTCCGCTGCACTTACCATTCCATCCCTAAGGTTCTGCCAAGTTCTTTCTTCACATTCTTTTCTGCCATCGATGGTGTCAAGCTTTTCGGCTACCCTCGCATGATATTTGTCCCTAGTATCCGCTTCCTGAAGCTTCCAGCTTCGGATGCGACAGACCGACTGTGGTTCTGTTACTGCCGTCCGGTAGCGCCAACCCGCGAACAGACCCCTAAATCTAGTAATCACTAGATAGTGATCCGTTCCCAGGTCAGCACCCCTGAACACTCGCGTATCCATCACCTGTTTTCGCAGTCGGTCATCCACCAGGAACAAATCAATCATACTTCTCTCATTCTTTCGTTCTCTAGTATACATATGGATTTTCTTGTGATTAAACATAGTGTTTGTCACAAGAAGACCCTTTTCCTTGCACACCGCCAGTATAAGCTTGCCAGCATCATTAACCCTTTTATCGCCAAACTTGCCAAGTACCGACTCGTACCCTGGTCGAGCGGTACCAACCCATCCATTCAAATCACCACATACAACAATTATTTCGTTTCCCCTAGCCAAATCTAGAACTTCTCTTACATTCTCCCAAAACTCCTCCAGCTCAGCCCTGGACGACGAAGCTACCGGCGCATAAACAGCCAAAAGGAATAACTTCGTCAGTCCCAATTTAAAGCGAACCCAGAGAAGTCTTGAGTTCACAACCTTATATTCAGTCATAACATCGACCAATCGAGAAGACAGCAGCACCCCCACTCCCTGGCAGGCGTTCTCGCTCTCCGGGACTCCTGACCATAGAGCTAACGCCCCGCCAGGGAGCTCTTCAGTACCACTGCCCTTCCGTTTGGTCTCCGACATACACACGACATCTAATTCTCTTTCTTTCATTATTTCGATCAACTCATTCGTCTTATCTCTCATGCCTCCTCTAACATTCCACGTGCCAACTCTGCATTCTGTCCTCCACCTTCCGCCGTGTCGGGCTGTGCGTGACGGGTGGCGGTCCCCATCGCCGCTTTGCACGCTGCATTCCACACCAACGGGGACGAGCTGGTGTGCGTCGCCTTGGGGGGACGCCCTAACCCTCGTTGGCATGGGTGCGCAGCTAGTAGAATTGCAGCCCTGAAAAGGGCTGGCAGGGGTCGCGACGAGCACGCTTCTACAATGACCCCCTAATAAAAAATAAATGAGGCATAGGAAATTGAAGCATGATAGCTGTCCTATGATAAAATACGAGTAAAAATTTTGGAGCTGATCAATGCATTGCAAGCCCGAGAAGACTAGCCATACTATTAGTATTGCTAGTTATTGCTTTAGTTATTGCATTATCGTGGGCTATTCTATAAAAAATTGTGTAATCGTATTTTAATTGTGCAACTATTTCTCTTAAATAAGGCTGGCAAGGACAGTGGGCATTAAGTCCATCCTTTGCAACCCCTAGTTGAAGGTGTGTTGCAATAAACCATAAAATAAATAAATAAATAATCATTAATTCACAAGGAAAACGTATGGGACATCCACTGTCCTTCACGGCCTTATTTAGGAGAAACAGACAACCCGTCTCACAAGTAAAATATCAATACAATTTTTTTTATACAATAGCCACAGTCGACCTGCTAATAAGTGAATGCTTTGGCCCATTAACATCCACATCTATCCTCGATTAGGAATTAAGGTTCATAATGCGGTGTCACACCTGAGGACTAAAATGAAATGCCTCGTTTCCAGTAAAAAGGGTATCTGGTTATCTACACTCACCATACAAAACACAGCAGCATCAAACTACTATTTCACGCTGGTATTCTGTGAGAGAGTTTTCCTTTCTTGTTTGAGCCGACCCATAATATAGCTTCAGCGAGTCGCTACCACGTATAAAACTATGCTTTACAAACCATTCTCATCACACGCGTGAGGATCGAACAAGTAGTAATCGTCCTCGTGTCTCCATACGGCCGTGGAAACGCCGCGTGCGGTTACCACCGCATGTGAATGCTCCTTAAAAAGCTGTCTCAGCGACTGTTTCAGCGACATCACTTCACTTGTTGTGTAATCAGGGTTTAATTCACCTGAAAAAGGTTTCTTAATTTTTACTCGGAAGAACTTCTAAGATACGCGAGTATATATATACTCGTATATAGTTATAATAACAACTTTTTACAAAATACATATGAAAGTATATACGGTACTTATAACAAAAACATATTTTGAAATTTGTTGTTTTTCGAAATGGCTTGACCGATTTTGATAGGGCTTTCATAAGCAGACAGCTGATATTATAAGGAGTAACATAGGCTACTTTTATTCTAGAAAAAAATTAGGGTTCCGCGCAAAAAAAATTAAACCCATGAAATCCAATCGTGACAAATTCACGCGGACGAAGTCGCGGGGAACAGCTGGTAAAGTAATAAATTTACAACGCTTAAGATAAAATGCCTCACAGTCTATACACTGGCTCTTTACATCCTTCACACCGCAAACAACAACGCTGAAACTGCTTTTTTGTGGCAGAAATAGGTAACAAGGTAATACTTACCCAGACCTACTGGTAGACAGAATAGGAGTCTCACCGCCATTAAATAAGTACGTGTCCGCGGAATTCACGTGCCCTTGAAAACATTTTCTTTTATAGGATAGGGTGACAAACGAGCACACAGTCCACCTGATTGCTGTGGTCGTTAGACATCTACATCTATCCTCGTTTGCGTATCAAAATGCAGATGCGTTGTCACCCATGAGGACTAAGATGGAATGCCTCGTTTCCAGTAAAAAGGGTCTCCGGTTCTCTACACTCACCATACGAAACACAGCAGTTTTAAGCTGCTATTTTACGCTGGTATTCTGTGAGAGCGTGGTCCTTCCCCGGTCGAGCAGACCTATTCGTACTACAACTATACTACTAATATAGCTGCAGCATGGCTCTACCACGTATATTATACCCAAAACATGCAAGATACTTCCACAATGTTTTCTTCCAACGCAAAGGACTCGGTAAATTAGCATTTAATAATTAAAAATTAGATTTGAAATCCACTATTTAAAAAGTGACAACGGGACTCAACAGCCGAGTTATTACAACTCTAGGTGTAAAATTACACATTTTCATGAAGATAAGTTATCGGTTTTGAACTCGGAACGAAAGTAACCTAATGTATGTGGAGAACTTTACAGAAATATTAATAGCGACTGTAGTATTCTTGTTTTTTAGTTTTAACAATGGTGCATATGGACATAAGACATATTATGATAAATATCATACATATAGTACAATGATAATATACTATTCTCATCATCACCACACATTATGAAATTTCTAAATTTACTTCTGTTCACACGTTTGCTGAACATTTGTATTCTTCTTATAGAGTCATACATTTCTTGAGAAAATTGTCCATACTTACTGGGATAAGTTGAGTGCGAGTGCGAGTGGACTTTTTGAATGCAGTGGCCGATGCACAAGAAATTTTTATTTAATTATCAGTTTTTAGCATCTAGATTATGCATTCTAGATGGATTTACCGGGCCTTCAGTCGTCAGAGTCAAAATAGTATGAAATGATTTGAGGGTGACGTTTGTAGATAAATTTCGCAAATTATGCTTTATGTTTGATCTCAATGATAAAGATTGATAGTCTCTTTAGCTTTGCATACAGACAAAATACGTGTTAAATCTTAATACATAAAAAAACTTAAGATATTTCTAGAATGCACAAAATTCGAAGAGTAGGGTTTAACGATCTATTGCTGTTGCGTTGTGCTTGAAGGAACGAGCTAGAGAACCGTGAGAGGCAACTGCTGTTCTCACTGATTATACCTATAAAAATTGGCGAAACCATCATCCCGCATTCCTCAGAACTCTCATCCAATACTAGCCCGCTTTTTTATAGAATAGGGATGACTAACGAACACATAGTACACCTGGTGGGAAGTGGTAATCTACATTTATCCTGGATTAAGAATCAAAATTCAGACGCATCGTCACCCCTGAGGACTAAGATAGAATGCCTCGCTTCCAGTGAAAAGGGTCGATTTAACTTTTAAACAACAATATAAGAAGGATTATGGCTATGTCTATAAGTTTTTCTTTTTTTCATATAGGATAAGAGTGACAAATGAGCACACAGTCCACCTGATGGTAAGTGGTCGCCATGGCCCATAGACATCTAAATACATCTATCCTCGATAACAAATCAAAATGCAGATGCATTGTCAGCCGTGAGGATTAAGATGGATTGCCTCGATTTCAGTAAAACGAGTATTCGGTTCTCTACACTTACCATAGGAAACACAGCAACGTTAAGCTCTATTTTACGCTGGTATTCTTAGAGAGCGTGATCCTCCCCGGTCGGGCCGACCCATACGTGCTACAATTATACCACTAATATAGCTGCAGCATGGCTCTACCACGTAAAATGTCCTTTTATTTTTATGCTCGTTAAATTTGATTGCTGGATTGATCCCTGGACAATTTTATTAATTTTACAAGGTTCCTATTTTTAGCATATTCATAACTCACCGATATAGGCGCTGTCTAAAACATCAGTTTCAATACAATCGTAGTCCGAAATTCTGAATTTATCCAAAACATCAGCAGCAGCCAAAGTCCCTCCAGAGGAGACGACCTCTTCCTCTTCTACCTCTTCACCTTCAAAGTTCTTAGAAGAGTCTAGACTTATACCCTTGCGCTCTAAGTTTTCTAAAGTATTTTGGTAGAGGATGTCGCCCCGAACTAAGGACTGTTAATAAAAATTGTAATTAATTTAACTTGAATCTTGATTAAAAATGCTGAAGTCGGCATGACTAGCGATAACCCATTCAAGTTTCCCCGGATGTGTTCCTAGCTCATTAATTTTTTTTCGGTTAATCTTACCTTTCCCGAGCTTACTTTTCCGAGAACAGTCAGTGCCCGAAACACATAATATTTTTTAAGCTATCGTTTTCGTATCATCATCAACTAAAATTGTATTGAAAGATAAACAGCGCCTCTAGCGGAAGTAAATGGAACTATGTTTCGTAACGCAGTCACTCGATTACGATACGAATTCGATACGATTGAAAACTCATGTTCAGGGAGCAGTTCTCATCGCTTCTCCCTCACCGCTGTGGTAGAGAACCTGAACTGATATCAATAAATTATCGAGATAGATCGATCGAAACTCACAGTTCATATTCTCAGCATAATCTTCTACGTCGGGAGTAGTACAGTATTCAGTATCAGCCTGCTTTTTTTGTATCTAATGGTCGTAAATGTTACTGCTAATCATAAGGTCCCGGGTTCGAATCCCAGGTCGGGCCAAAATCAGTTGCGTTTTTCTATTAAGCAGTATTCAGTAGCAGCCCGGACTAAGAAAGTTGGCGGTATTTAACCCCCCCCCCCCGTGCTTAAGAAAGCACGTAAAATCGCTGGTCCTGCGCCTCTCTCCACTGTACTGCGCGAAATTTGAGGGAAAAGGAAGTGCATCTGTGTTTGCACACACTCGTGCACTTTAGTTATGACTTGTGCAGATAGTTAGTCTCCATTGTTAGCTACTTACTGTTAAACACAAATCATATTTTAGATATGTTCAAGTTTCTTACAAACTGCCTAGCAGTTTTTAGCTGTTGTTCGCGATTCACTTGTGTAACAACGAATGCAAAGCATTTGTGTCATAGAGTTTTATAAAAAGTGCTTATCATAAAACAAGGAATACGTAGATGTCAATTTTGTATCTGAAACTTTGCAAATTAGCTTCCGCATCTAAGAAAGTCACTCATGAGAAAGTTAAGGTTGTGAAAGCAATTTCCTTAAGACGTTGCTTACCTCGTCCACTTCATCAGCGGTCCAGTTAGCTGGGTCCACAATATGCGCCATGGCAATGGCAGCGATGGCCGCCGGTGTCGCCTGGCGTCCTCTGTGCTCTTCTGGGAACCTCTCGTCCGCCTCGTGGAAGCGACCGCGGATCACCCACCGGTTTGGTGCTACAGCTGTAGCGAATCGTAATTATATTTGCACTTCAAACCCTTCAAAATATATTTCAAGGCAATGAATTAAATTCTATGTGGAAATTTAAAAAGAAAAAGTCTCGACAGTGATAGCGTCATATAAAAGAAACTAAAGTCATACATTCATCCATTCAACCATTACAGCCTTTAAAAGTCCACTTTTTTTCATTATTTTAAGTTGTTATCAGAAGATGTTCCTGCAATCTCTAGTCCTAATTTCCCTATGTCGCCTCTTACGATACCCATGGAACTATATGGGGTAAATGATATTTTTTTAACACCGCCACTAACCGGTAAAAAGATAAGATTAAAACATTTTTAATCTATATTTTTATTCTTTGGATAATACGTATGTTACGATTGCGGGTACCTAATGCCTAAAAAACTAGAGTAAGTCTAGGTTTACCCGGATTTTTGGGTAATGTTCGAATAATTTATAAATAAAAGTTAAAGTTAAAGTTACAGCCTATATACAGCCCACTGCTGGACACAGATCTCCTCTCAATTCTGAGAGCCGTGGTAGCTCAGATGGTTAGCGCTCGCTGTAAGTTTCACAGTAAGAGAGCAACTCAGGTTAAATCCCCGCCGACACCAATGAAATTGTTAATTGCAATATTAAGCACTGATTTACCACGTGGTCGGCGGTGAAGGAAAACATCGTGAGGAAACCTGCATGTTTGAGAAATAAGAAAATAAATATTTCGAAGACTTCACAAAATTCGCCAACACGCACCGGATTAACGCGGCGGACATTTCCTTGCCCTAAAACTCTCTCAGAAATTTATAAATAGTTAATATAAATTTATTTTTGTCTCTGATACGGTATTTTGATATATGCTCTCGGATTTTGGAAAAATTTGACAGAAGTCATAGTTATTATATACCAAAAAGCTGAGAATCTTCTCTTAGCTTTTTGGGTAAAATCCGAATTTACAGGTTTACTAGTCCTTCAGGCATACGTACAAGTAATATAAAAGGTATTTTTGTCATAGACACGTACGTTTAAGCTTATTGACCGGTTCAGGCATCTCGCCTAACTCTCGCACACTGACATCAGCTATGCTGAAGGGCTTTCGCTTCATATCCGACACGCTGTCGAGGAAATGCTCGCACAGGCGCGATATCCTACTGAAGTATAAGAGACAAGCCTTGCCGCCGTCGCGCAAGCCGATCTGAAAACGCAAAGGACTTCTTCAATTTTGGGTAATTACTTAGAGAACGTTTACTGCTTCTAATTCTGGATATTTCAGATCTGTCATATACGACGGCTTATTACTTGTGATAGTACTCACTGTACTCCCTTGTACGCTGTGGTGATAGTACTGACTGGTGGACTAAAAGGAAATCCCAGAAATAGTAGTGATATTACAGAGTGAGACTACGAGGAAGATATATTTTTGTTCGCCATTTTGTCTCTTGAAGAAACTGAATAGTGTTTCGTCATGTGTTCTTTAATTAGAAAATTTGTTACCTTTCGTCAGAGCCGATTTTTGAATCCAACATAGATACTCTTTTATAGTTTTTGGGCTCCTGGTACTTTTCAATTTTACAATAGAAACTAATTATTAATAAAATACCTTTTAGATTTAACAAATACTAAAAATTTCTGAAAAAATATTTCAGTAAATAATGCGATTTATGGTGGCAGCATAAAAAATTCATCAGAAATCTATTATTAAACCATTAAATACTCAAGGGCTGTTACAAAACAAATATGTTTTATAATATGAAAATATAAAACCATGGTTTAGAGTCATGCCGCTGAATGTCATGAGCCGTATAAATGACGTTAGGGAATATATCATCACATCACATCCAAGGGTGCCGTCGGGTAATGTAACGGGTCGTTCGCATCCCTATTAGTCAAGGATACCTGCGATATACGTCATGCTTGTGAACAGGTGCATATTATTTGTTCTGTGACAGGTGCTGCTTGTGGTGACTGATCTGCTTTAGGTAATTTTAAATTTTTTTTTTGTGTAAGTTTATTATATGGTATAATATGCTTCGATTACCTATGTATTATTATTTTTGATCAAGAATGTTGTATCATTGGCCTATAAAAATACAAAACAAATCTACCTGCCGAGTTTCTTTTGTCGTTTCTCTTTCGACTGAGAAACGTCTTATTGAAACAGTTATAGATTTAAAAAAAACCGTTGTCGAGTGACATATTTAATTAAATTTTCTTACATCGAAAAATTAATATTATACATATATTTAAATGCATTGTTATATTGTTTTATAGTTTAAGTAAAACGTCACGTATGCTAAGACTTCTTTATTGCCTTGTTTACACCATACATGATATGCCATTTTATTACGAGGGTAGTCTCTCTTTACTTTTACAACATTATACTTCTAATTTATTAGTGACTACCTACAACATCTCCCTTTTATTATCAAGAAAAAGTATTAGCAAATAATACACAATTATTATATAGTTACATAATAAATATTATCTGGAGAAGACATATGATACTAGGATATGTCTTCATTATAACCTTCATTTTCTCCTTATATTAATGTGTTATGATAAGTTTTGCATGCGACTTTTAACACATTGCTTATAACTATGGACCAATCATTGTTACATTGCAAACTGTGAATAATCAATTTCTTCCTTGTTAATACTGAAGAAATAATGTTACAAACTCGACCACATTCTTGTTTTTGTTTTATTTATTTATTAATATTGTAACCATGCTTCGATACAATTTCATGCAAATAACAAAAAAAATCACCTTAATGTAACTTCATTGTTAAAGAAAATTATTGAAATGATAATTATTTGATGATTTGTTCTAATTATTATATTGAAATGTAATTGTACTGTGTGCAAAATAAAAATATATTATATACCTAACTCTAGAATTAGGAAGCCTAAAAATCATGTAATATTTAATAATAATAATAGAAAACTAAGATAGGATACTTCATGTAATAAAATCGTATAATAAAATAACGTAACAGTAATTTTTTTTTTTTTTTTTTAGTTGGCATAATGAATTAATATATCTGTCACAGCAGATATGCCATTAATATAACTATGATGTTTTACCATTAATTATTAATCTCAAAGCGTTCTGGACGGCGAACAACTCTCCCACTTCGAGTGATATATATGGGCGAAAACCGCTCATTCACTGGCGGTGGCGATCGTTCGCTAGTTCCGCGCGGTAGTAAATTTGTCTCAGTATCTTTGAAATCATCCCAGTCTAATTGCTTACTCACATTTCTTTGATGTGTTTTTGCTTTATAGCGACGATCCAACGCCGTTAATTTGGTCGGTAACTTCATAATATGCTGCCTGTTACGGCGCAAAACTCGTCCATTTTTAGTTTCTAGCCAATACGAACGCTCACCCCGTGCTCTAGCCATAACTTTAGCTTTTTCCCATGTTTTTTTATCCCTCATTCGTACCGTTTCACCCGGTTTTAGTCATGTTAATGGTTTAGTACCCTTGTTATAATACTCTTTTACTTTATCACATTTCTTTAATCGATTTTCCTTTACTAAGCGAGCGTTGACGGTTTTCGGACGTAGAACATCTTGGTGAACAGGTAACCTAGTATTAAGCCTACGGCTCATTAAGAGCTGAGCAGGCGAATACTTCTCTCCGGTAATTGGTGTATTCCTAAAATTAAGAAGCGCCAGTTGCCAATCTTCACCTGTTTCGTGTGACTTAATTAATATTGATTTTACGGTCCTAACGTTTCTCTCCGCGAGTCCATTGGATCTTGGGTAATGAGGAGAGCTGGTAACATGTTCAAACCCCCAAGCCTTACTAAAAATTTTAAAATCATCTGATGTGAACTGTGTCCCGTTGTCAGTCACAATCTTTTTAGGTATGCCAAATCTACTGAATATGCCCTTCATAACATTGATTACTGTCTTGCTTTGTAAATTCGTTAGTAAAGAGATTTCTACAAATTTAGAATAATAATCAACTATCAATAGATACTGTTTTCCTCCGAACTCAAAAATGTCAGCAGCTAAATGTTCCCAAGGTAGTGTAGGCACTGGATGCGGCGCAAGAGGCTGGCGCGGCGCAGCGGCTTGATGTCGCTGGCACGTATCACACCCCTGCACAACACACGTAATATCTGCCGACATACCCGGCCACCACATTACATCGCGTGCACGACGTTGACATTTTTCAACCCCTAAATGCCCTTCGTGTATACGGCGCAGCATTTCTTTCCGTAAGGACAGGGGTATAACAATACGATTATTTCTAAATAAGACTCCTCTAATCATATGTAACTCATTGTGTACATTCCAGTAGGGTTTTACAAGTTCAGAGACTTGCTTTTTATTAAAAGGCCATCCTTTTTGATAATACTCCCCCAGTGCTATCATGACTGGATCGTTGTGAGTTTCCTTTTTTATTCTCTGCAACATATCCATCGACGCTTCAACGTTTTCAAACGTCATATTCTCGTGTATCATAACCTTGTCGCTTAAATCATCTTGGCCCTTTTGCGTAGCCGATCTCGATAGAGTATCTGCTATAAATAGTAATTTTCCTGGTTTATACTGTAAATTAATAGGGTAGTGTTGCAATTTCAATAGCAAACGTTGAAGTCGTGCTGGAGTATCATTCAGCGGCTTCTTAAATATAGCTTCGAGCGGCTTGTGGTCACTTTCCACAGTCACATTACTATGTCCATAAATGTAAAAATGGAATCGTGTACATCCAAAAACCACAGCAAGTAACTCCTTTTCGATTTGCGCCCAACGCGTCTCTGTAGGTGTGAGGGTGCGCGATGCGTATGCGACCGGCCGCCCCTTTTGAAGAAGACACGCTCCAAGGCCGTGTGAGCTTGCATCGACTGATACTGTGATTGGCTTCTTTGGCGAATAATAATTCAAAACCGGGGCACTGCTTATTTTTGATTTGAGGAGATTAAAAGCCTGTTCATGTACTTGAAGCCACTCAAACTCTATTTTTTTATTTAATAGTTCTCTTAATGGGGCTGATATCTTTGAATATTTTGGAATGAACCTCGACAAATAATTAGTAATTCCCAAAAACCGTTCAACCCCCTTTCTACATGTTGGTGTTGCCATTTTTAAAATTGCCTCTATTCTAGTATTATTTGGTCTAATACCATTTTCATCAAACGTATGCCCCATAAACGTTATTTGTTTTGCACCAAACACACATTTTTGTTTGTTGAATTTGACACCATTTTCTTTTGCTCTACGTATAACCTCCGCTAATCTATCGTCATGTTCTTTTTGATTTTGACCCCAAATCAGCAAATCGTCACAAAACACTTCCACTCCCACCATTTTAAATATTTTACACATTTCATTATGGAACATTTCAGGCGCACAAGAAATTCCAAATGGCATTCTCAAGAAACGATATCGACCATACGGTGTAGAGAACGTACATAGTATATTATAATCAATGATAATAGGATTTAAATTGAAGATTATTAGAAGTGTTTACAATGAAAGCTTTTACCATTACCATCCTTAGCCCACTGTACAATACAAGTATTTTTTAGAATGTGTCAGTAATCATTTACTGCTTAAAAGTGTTTCGTATTTTCACCACACAGGGAAATATATTAAAATAATACTTTTCATCAGCGGTCTAGCATTAAGATTTGAGTTTAGGTTTGACAAGTAAGTCGATCATTAAAGGCCCGCTCGTCAGTCAGCGGAGAGGTAAAGTCTAATTACAAAATATGTTTATTTGAAGCTTCAAAACATTACGTACATTACTTTTTTTTATAGGAGAGGGGGCAAACGAGCATGCGGCTCACCTGATAGTAAGTGACTACCGCCGCCCATGAACAACTGCAACACCAGCGGAACCCGGGGAATTGGAGATGCGTTGGCGGCCTTTATACCTATTACTGCATCACTTGTATATTTTCAACATAATTATAGCAGCAAATAGGCAACCGACATTGAATGTTTTTTAATAATTTTCCATGCTAAATTTTCCATCTGTAAGTTTTTTTATAGAATGTGTATGGCAAACGAGCACACAGTCTACCTGATGGTAAGTGAATGCTGTGGCCCATAGACATCTACATTTATTCCCGATTAAGAATCAAAATGCAAATGCGTTGTCACCTTAGAGTATTCAACTAAGTCACCCCTGATGACTAAGATGGAATGCCTCATTTCCAGTAAAAAGGGTCTCCGGTTCTCCACACTCACCATACTAAAGACAGCAGCAGTAAGCTGCTATTTTACGCTGGTATTCTGTGAGAGCGTGGTCCTACCCCGGTCGAGCCGTCCCATTCGTGCTACGACCATAATATAGCTGCAGCGTGACTCTACTACGTTAAGAATTATTTTTTTAATTTTGCTGCATTGTAATAACACACTAACAAATAAGCAGAGCGCTGATATTCTACCGTTGTTATTACCCTTAAATAAATTCACGAAGACTCGCCAAATATAAGTTTTGTCTTTGTACGCCTAACATTTTAATAAGTTTATAATATACTAGCTGTTCCCCGCGACTTCGCCCGCGCGTAATTTATTACGATTGTATTTCATGGGTATTTAATTTTTTTGAGCGGAGCCCTAATTCTTTTTCGAAAATAAAAGTAGCCTCAGTTACTTCTTATAACATCAGCTATTTGCCAATGAAAGTCCGGTCAAAATCGGTCTAGCCGTTTCGGAGATCAGCCTGAACAAACAGACAGACAGACAGAAAGACAATGTTTGTTGTTATAAGTACCGTATATACTTTCATATGCATATAGTAAAAGCTGTTATTTCGACATTACAAACAGACATTTCAATTTTATTTATTTGTATAGATAATATTAAAATTGTTTACTCTATATCCGTATCTGTCTGCGGGCCACGGATGGTACACGTAGTAACGACCGCCTTCATTCCATATTGCTACTTCATACTCGCCTGGGATCTATAAACATTTATAAATATTATATGGTATTATATGGTTTTGTTTAACATTACTTATATGTAAAAGTAACGGTAAACAATTAATCCATAACTATTAAAGGTCAGATATACAAAAGTGAACGTTAAATCTTTGAAGAGGCCTTATAATATAGCTAATGAAAGTAAGAAATATAGTAATAATAGTTTTATTTTCTGCCGACTTCAAAAAAGATACGGTACTCAATTCGACTGTATGTTTTTTTTTATGTGTTACCTCATAACTTTTTACTGAGTGAACCGATTTCGACGATTCTTTTATTATTTGAAAGCTGGTACTTTACATGTGGTCCCATATGAATTTGATCAAGGTCAGACCAATAGTTTTTGAGTTATTCTTAATAATTTATATTGAAGTCTGCTGTACAACATTTTTAATTTTAAATTATACTTTACTTCCACGAACTCTCACGCCTTTCACAGATAGACTACGGACTTCCAATTGGCACGACCCTGACACGCCTCACTTGTTTCTTTCACATCCGTTACTGTTACAGCCTACTAATAGTCTATTGCTAAATATAGACTTTTCTAATAGATTACCTCATAGGGGGATATTTGCCATAGCTACCATGCTCGGCGAGCGGGTTGGCAACCGCAGTTTTTTATTTTTAGTCGTTATTAGGAAGACGCTGCCGCCCATCTCCTGATTTGTTTCTTTCTGTCGCCTCTTACGACACCCACATGATGATATGGGGTAGTGGATATTATACCACTCACCCTATACACGGCAATACACGGTTTTCACATCTTTCTTCCACATCCACTGCACACTGCCACCCACTTCAGAAGCATAAATTTGCTTTGTCACTTTTTCCTCATTCATTCTTTCTAAGTGTTCAAACCACCTTTCTTAATCCTAGTCACAAACTGTTTTTAACATCCAACTTTTATTTTAACTTTGCTTTAACTTTTCTTGTAAACTACGCTTATCACTTATCAGATAATTTCTTATAATCACACAGCTAACAAAGGTTCGCTAACAAAAATGCCATTATGGCATTAAGTTAGCCTTTACACAACAATATTTCTTCTGCAGCAAAGAATTTTCCACTTATCTTTTCTTTTATAAAAACGAAGTGACAAACGAATTGTAAGTCTACCTGATGGTAAGTCGCTACTGCTGTCCATAGACACCTGCAACTCACTTTAAACAAAACAAGGTTACAAGTGCGTCGACAGCTCTGAGTACTGAAATAGAATGCCTTACAGCCTGTAATCTTTATATATAAAAATTACGTGTCACATTGTTTGTCCGCGATGAACTCCCAAGCTACTGAACTGATTTAAATGAAATTTTGCACACTGTGTGCAGTTTGGTCCAACTTGAGAGATAGGATGGTTTTTATCTCGATAAGTGACCTTCAATTTTTTTATTGCTATTCTCAGGAGCTTCTTTTAGGAAAGCAAATGGTCGTCGGAAAGGGCAGAACAACGTCTGCCTGGTCAGCTAGTTGTACTACATATTTACTTATCTATCCATCTATCTGAGACATTGCCAGTCAACACCAGCGGCCGTATTAAAAACACATCCACACCCATTTTTTTAATAATTTTAACAATGTACCTGCAAAACTCCAGCATCGGATTCTTTGAAGAAACTCTCGATGCCGCGACATAAGTCAAAAACTTTCGGATCCGAGGACATCATCTTACCCCACACAGCTATACCGCGTTCCTGTAGGTTTTTTTTTAATAATTACACGAATTATGTTATTTTACCATACAAAATAGCAGACGAATGTTCAAAGGTGAATAGACAAACCTCTGCTTTTAATAAATAAATCTTTCAAGTTCAGACACACAAGTAAATTAAAAAAAAATCCACTGTTGGAAGCTCTCTCCCATTACAGGAAGGATTTTGGTCTTAATCACCACGCTTGGCTGGCGGATTGGCAATTGTAGCACTAGACGTCTTACATAATCAATAATTTTCACAAATGTCACATGTTAAACACTAACTAATTAAGAAATTTATATGATTATGTAAATGTGAGATCCACTACCGAGTAAGGAACGTGAGGGTAATATGGTCACCTTAAGCTTTGCCGTATTATAAAACCAAAACTATGAGGAGGACAGAGACAAATACACAATGTCGTATACTATAACTAATATAGAAAAAAAATAACAAACAAGCCTTGGCAATAATTAGCAACACTTCGAAAAAGCAACTTAAATAAAACTAACTATAGTACGTGAGGGTAATATGGTCATCCGGTTAATATGGTCACTTTCTTATAACTCAAAAACTACAGCGTCGTTTGCATAGAACGCTCTGTGATACGATAGCTCTTGATCAGTTTATCAAATAATAAAGGATCAAAAAGGCGCTCCTTTATCGACGCTATTTTGACAGTTGATATTATTGTAAATATTTTAGTCGATTTTTATATTGTGTAGTGTAGTTAGTTTTTTTAAGTAGATTTTTCGAAGTGTTTCTAATTATTTCCAAAGCTTGTTTGCTGTTTTTTTTTTCTTAATATATTAGTAATAGAATACGACTTTGTGTTTTTGTCTCTGTTCTCCTCCTAATTTTGGTTTTATAGGGCGATAAAACTTAAGTTGACAATATTACCCTCACGTACTTACTATAATATCAACTGTCAAAATGGCGTCGATAAAGCGGCGGCCTTTTGACCCTTTATTATTTGAATTACTAATGAAGAGCTATCGTATCACAAAGCCATCTATGCAAATTAGGCTGTAGTTTTTGAGTAATAACAAAGTGACCATATTAACCGGATGACCATATTACCCTCACGTACTCTATATCGTACCGAGAGTATCGTAAGAGGTGACAGAGGCAAAATGAAACTAGAAACTCAAAATAATAAAAAACAGCGGTTGCCAAATAGTTTGCCAAGTGTGACAATAATGGCAAAATCCCCCCATGAGACAATGTATGAGGGAGGCCTATGTTCAGCAGGGGAGTGGCAGTGCCTTTACATTTTGTATAAGCAATGATTCGGCGACGGTAGTAGAAGAATTTAAAGGTTTTGTTAGAGTTTTGGCGGGAAATTGACCGGCGACGGATTGCTGCTACTGTATTAGTGTTTAAATAATGGTTTGGAGTGGATTTTGATATGTGAAAGTGGTGCGATTTTGTGTATTAAATGTCTACGCATGTGAACTATTAGTGGAAACTGTGAAACAAGTGCTCTGATGGTGACGTGATTCTCAAGATAAGGTGTCGGGGTGCTTAGGCGCCTTGAGATACCATCGCCAACTGTCGTCAAAATCTCCCAAGGGATGCACAATGTGACGCATCAACATATTGTGAAGCAGTGTTCTATGTAGGATAATTATACATTGTAACTTCAGGCTCAGAAGGGCTTTAACCCAGAGCCGTAAAGTCAGTTATTAAAAAAAAAGATTTTGTTTCAAAAAAGGAACATCAGTAAAATGTCGCTCAAAAGCCATAGCAATTTCTCGACCAGATTGAGTTAAATTATTGTTAATATTCTTCAATTCAATTAATATTCACTTACAGTATTCAATAAAATTCAAAATCCTAGTGGAAGAGTATATAAAAAAGAAACATATACCTTATGCTTATATTCCTTGTCACGTATTCTAAAAATTTCTTTAAGTTCCCCGAGTACCAAACGCCTGATCGGTCCACCTCTTTCCACGAGCGATTCCTGATGATTAAAGATAAACAAAGATAAAGACAACAGACTTCCAGTATTATAATAAATGATTAGAAGTTTGTGAAGCGGCGATACTGAATGAATATTTAAATATGAAATAAATATAACTTACCCTATATAGATTATAACCCAAATCCAAAGTCTCGTCAAGGACGTCCTCGTTCCACGTTCTGGCGCGCATTCTACGGAGCATCGCCAAAGCCGCCACACAACAAGCAATACTTGTATAGGTTTTGAAGGTTTGGTATCTGTAAATTATAGAATCAATTTCAAAAACCAATCCACCTCGTCGATGTTCTTTGCCGGTACGAACGTCGTCGTTATGATTATCCACTACCCCACATTAACGCGAGGGTATCATGGCAGAGGGTGGCAGACGGACTTTCACCCTTCTTACCAACTTCGATAACAACTAAACATAACAAAAACCTGGCGTAGGCACTCTTGGAGTGGCAACTATGGAACCCCCCCTCCTCCTCCCCCCTAAAGATAATCCAACGGGGAGGCCTGGAATTTTGATGGGAATGAATGAAAACTAACGTTAACCTTGTCTTAGCAGAGAGTCCCCACACAAAGTAATAAATAAATTAAATAATAAAAAGGTAATAGTTTTGCACCCTCATGCTGCTTCCTGATACCGGTTTGGATATTTTAGATGAGACGGAATTGAGAAGTTAACATAATCATAATTTTGAAATTTTGCATGCTTTATCTCATGGCCAAATAGGCCTATACAACCTTTTTTTAACTTTAGCTGTATAATACTTACCCTATTTTTGGCAAATAAAGAAATTTGAATTTGCTACCAAATCGTGAGTGTCTCTAAATCGAATTATCCTTTGAAATTAAAAAAAATTATTTTAATATTTTACGATTTGGTACCTACTTCTACTTAGTCAGATCATGTGTTCTGTCATAAACTTTTTATAAAATTAATGATACACTTTTTGATAATTATATAGAAATTATATATAAAATGAAAGGTAATTTAATTTAGAATACAATTTTATTTACATTATTTAAAATGCCTTCCCCTATTTTGAATACATGCCCTTAATCGATGCGGCCAATCATCAATCGCAGCACGCACCATATTCATATCTATTTTTGCCGCTGCTTTAGCCAAAGATGTTCGGAGAGATTCCAAATTCTGATGAGGTTTAGCGCAGACTTTCTCCTCCAAATGTTGCCATATCTTGCCAGTGGCCAGTCTTCATGTCCGATAAAGTCAATTTCACGGGCGGTCAACCAGTTTTGCGTGCTTCGTGCCCTATAAGCTGGTACAGAGTCCTGTTGGAATATCCAATGTCTGCTTTTGAACATTGTTTGAGAAAGAGGTTCCACTATGTTTGTTAGGACGGTATTTTGGTACACCTCGGCACTGGTTTTTATACCTTTTTCACGGAAAAACACCTCCGTTAAGCCTGAATATGAGACTCCAAGCCAAACCGTGAGTGACGAAGGATAATGTCCTCGTTGAATCCTCGGTATACGCGTGCTGGCTTCTTCGCTGCTGTGGGCATACACCTTATCATTTTGTTTATTATAACTCTATTCGATGTTAAAAATTTCGCGGCGTTTTTTTCCCGCGTACCGCCGTAAGAAAGAGCGGGATCTATCCAGCCTAATTTTTTTCAAACGCTCGTTCAAAAAATGTCCGGTCTTCTTATAATAAGCTCTTAATTCTAGGTCTTCCTTGATCACTCTTTTGACCGTGGTTATGCTTAGGCCCATCTGTAGAGCTAAGATTTTTTGTTTACGAACAGGATTTCATTGGATACGGGCCTTCACTGCTTTGATGATTGCGGATGTCCTAACTGCACAAGGTCGGCCAGTCCTCTTACGATCTTCAAAGCTTGAATCTTCAGTGAATCGTTTGACAGTGCGATAAACAAATCGTAGGGTTATTTTCAATTTTTGTAAGATATTGAAAATCTCCTTTGGTGCGTAAGCACAATGGTGCAACGCGATAACCGCTACTCTATCTTCTGTCTTGGACCACTCAATATTTGAATGAAAATTAATGTTTTTATTTTTATTTTTTGCAAGCGCAAACGTTATATTTTTAAAATTGGTGAAGTTCATCTAGCCAGTATTCAAATATTTTAAATAATAAGGTTTTAACAAAACTTATGACCCGACTAAGTACAACAATACACATTAAACACCATTTGTCACAGGTACATTTGTTAAAGGTCATTTTAATTTTTAATATTAAAAAATATATTTTATAATATATAAAATGTTAATTTCATAACCTAAAATATGACGTCAGTTTTCTCATTTTAAAATTCGCTATTAAGATGTTTATTCCACCGTTCCGCCATCTATCAGAAGATATGAAATGTATTCTCTTCGGCAATCAATATATTCAAACAAAGCAAATTTAATGTTTAATACAAAGATCCATCGAGTGGGGTACTATTAAAAGTACTTATGGGAAGAAAATCAAAGAATAAAATACCACTGTCCTAGTTCTCCTTATCAGTTTAACTAGTTACAGACCTGTAACTGGCCATGTGCCTAGTGGCGTGCAATATCCACTTCTCAACGTCCAACTGCTGAAACTGCGAATGGAAGTTCTGGTCGGCGATCTCGACCAGACTGTGGAGAACTGTCTCGGACTTCGGTAGTGGAATGAGATCATCGCTGAAAATCGCATAACAGAAATATAATATCATACAAAACATAAGAAATGTAAATAAATTAAAGGTATATATATCTGTGTTGTGTGGTGTTTAAATAAAAAAATAAATTAGATTTGGACTCGTGTAAAGTTTAGTTATGCAGATCTCTTATATTTTCTAAGTGTTTATGTTACAGTAGTAAGTTATGATTTTAATCAAAGTATTCCTAAATATATAATCAGTTTCAACATTTTGTTGTCATTATTTATAAAGTTCTAAGGAAGGCATATAGTAATATTATCTATAAATTAGTAATTATTCCCGTAAATATTCAGTAAAATTGTACACAAAATAAATGAAAAAATAAATAAATTTTATCTATTGTATGCGAACAAAGTTTGATTCCCGGGCGGCATCAAATCATTATTATTATAGAAGCTGAAGTAGGTAAGTAATATTATTTACTAGCGATCCGCCCCAGCTTCGCACGGGGGATTTCTGGATCTCATGGACAACAGCGCCATCTACCGGATCAAATTGTGAACCATTTAGATCATCCAGGAACCGACTCAAACACACAAAAAATCGATCCAGCCGTTTTAGAGTTTTAGCGAGACTAAAGGAGCTATAAATTAAAAGTTATTTTTTAACGCTCGCGCACTGCCCTTTGTGGGGCGTAAAATCCGTTCTTGGTAATTTTAACATGCCAATAAGAATATTCTGGGCAAGTTTTTTAGTTAACCTTTAGTTAGCTATAGTTTGAAAATGTGAAATTTTCTTAATCACGTATCTATGGAACCATAAGGCCTAGAGACTTGAAATTCGGTACTAATATTCGTTATTGGGGTGGCGAGGGTAATAAGTATAAATGGAGAAGTATAAATGCAGACTGAGGGAATATATAAGTGTGTTGAATGAATTATGTATGAATGATTTAGACTTGAAGAATGTATGGAATAATGTTAAGAAAGTTTTGGTGGATACAGCCACCGAGGTATGTGGTGTAAGTAAGAGAACGAATGAAAGGAAAATTAATACGTCATGGTGGGATAATGAGGTACGGATGTAAGTTGAAGCAAAGAAGAGAGCATAGCTAGATTTACTGGCAACCAAATCTGGTAATACTGGCGGTATGAATGATGAGATTGAAAGAAAAAAAGCAGACTTTAGACCTATAAATAAGAGAGTAAAAGAAGTTGTTGAAAGGAAAAAGCAAGAAAGAATAGATAACAATGATAGAAGAATATCTGATAACTTCCAGGCAAATATTAAAATGTTCTGGTAGCTCGTAAGAACTGCCATGGGAAATTCAAAACAGCCTAGAATGAATGCTATACGAGACGAGAATGGCTGCATGCTGAATGATGAAGTTTCGAATTTAAATAGATGGAAGGAATACTTTGAAAGTGTGTTTAAGAGTGAAGAGTCGTCTGAAGTAAGTGAAATAGAAATTGAAATAGGAAGAAGTGGAGAGAGGTAGGGAGATAAGTGTAGATGAAATAATGAAAGCAATGAAAAGCATGAAAGCAGGTAAGGCAGCCGGATATGATATAGTATCACTCGAAATGCTAAGGGCTGGAAAGGGTGTGGTTGCAGGCCTGCTGTACACTTTGTTTAATTTGTGTTGGGAACTGAAGCGGGTACCGGAAGACTGGTGCAAAGCCGTTATAGTCCCAATATATAAGAGAAAGGGGTCGCAGCACGGCTGTAAAAACTACCGTGGTATCAGCTTGCTTAGCATTGTAGGTAAACTGTATGCTAAGGTGTTAATTGAAAGAGTTATGGAAGAAACTGATGGAAAAATTTGCATTGCAATTTGGGATAGGGTGTACGGATCAAGTCTTTTCCATGCGCATGATTGCGGAGAAATTTTTGGCCAAAAACCAGAAAGTTTTTCGTGCGTTCATGGACTTGGAAAAGGCTTATGACAGAGTGGACAGAAACGTGTTATGGCAAACACCGACCTCTTTTGGGTTGAGCGCTGGTCTGATACAGGCATTAAAGTCACTTTATAGGGACTCTAGTACTTGTGTCAAGATCAACGGGGCCTACTCGGACTGGTTTGGCATTCAAAAAGGTGTCAGACAGGGCTGTGTAGCTTCTCCAGGGCTGTTTAACCTATTTATGGACAGTTGTTTGCAAACTTTGAAAGTTGAAGAATGTGGGTTGAGAATGGGTGAGTTAACCGTCAAATGCCTTTTGTACGCCAATGACCAAGTCATATTTGCATCGTCGGCGGCCGAGTTGCAAATGATGGTTACTTTAATGAACTGGTCATTAAAAGAAAGGGGTATGAAAGTGAACGCAAGTAAGACAAAAGTGATGGTTTTTGAAAGAGAAGAAAGTAAAACGTTATGTGAAATAAGAATAGAAGGGGAATTGATTGAGCTAGTGGATGAGTTTGTATATTTGGGATGTTTATTTACCAGGGATGGTAGATATGATAAAGATATAGAACAACGAGTGAACGCAGGAAATAGAGTTAATGGGGCTCTACACGCTATTATGAAGAGTCAGAATGTGTCAAAGAAGGCACGTGTGGCAATTCATAATGCTGTGTTAGTCCCTACTTTAATGTATGTTAGTGAAAGTTGGGTCTGGCAGAAGAAGCATGAGAGTAGAATAAAGGCTGTAGAAATGCGGTCATTACGAAGTATGCTAGAGCTGAATCTGAATGACAGGGTGAGAAATAGTGTGATAAGAGAAAAGTGTGGTTTGCAAGATAACGTTATGACTAGGATTAAAAAAGGAATGCTTCAGTGGTTTGGTCACGTAGAAAGAATGAACAAGGAAAGAGTGACAAAGCAAATTTATGTTTCAGAAGTGAACCGTAAATTCGGGAAGGGACGCCCTAGACGAAGATTTATTGACCAAATCGGCGATACATTGAAAATGGACCAGATTAGAAGTACCCTTAACCGACAAGTGTGTATGCGTAAATATATGGATGTAAAGGAGGCGAGAGAGGTGTGTCAGGATCGCGCTAAATGGAAGTCCGTAGTCTCTGCCTACCCCTCTGGGTGACTGGCGTGAGTGTTTTTGTATTTTTTTTATAGGGTAAGGGTGACAAACGAGCACACAGTCCACCTGATGGTAAGTGGTTGCTGCGGCCCATAGACATCTACATCTATCCTCTATTACAAATCAAAATGTAGATGCGTTGTCACCCGTGAGGACTAAGATGGAATGCCTCATTTTCGGTTAAAAGGTCCTCCGGCCACCTGCACTCACCAAGCGAAACGCAGAGGTAAACCTCTACTTCACGCTGGTTTACTGTGAGGTTGTGGTACCACCCCGGTTCGAGCCGGCCCATCCGTGCGACAGCAAAAGCTGCCGCGTGGCTCTACCACTGTTGAATTATGTATGTATGTAATTAAATTAAAAATAATATTTTTTATGTGTTTTATATGTTTTAGTCCCTGAATAATTTAATGTTTATCGTTGAATGGCCTTTTATTTTAATAATATCACGTTATAAACTAAACGTTGATGGAGTTTACTTGAAATAAAACGTCAAATAAAGGTGATTTTTGATTTGATTGGTGAGTTAAGTTAACCTAAGTTTAAACGGACTTTATCTTACATTGCGATGTTCGGAAACGCACTGTCTTAAGTTATTGAACCAATAGATAAACCGCCGATAAACGTACCTTAGAATCCAAGCATTAAGCAGGAAACACACGAAGAAAGCAAATTAAATTATTATTTAATAATTAACTAATTATTTAATGTTAAGCAGTGCGTTAGTTGCGCATGTGAGTACCAATACAAACTATTTTTGGTTTAATGGTACAAATAAAAAAAATATGTATGAACAATTTGATCAATAAATAAAAAATAAAATAAAAAACAAAAGACAGCAACGTTATACTGCTATTTTACGCCGGTATTCTCTGAAAGTGTGGTCCTTACTGGATTGAGCTGACCCATTCGTCCTACACTACAGCTTGGCTGTACCACGCGGAGACTGTTCTTAGAATATACATAGAATAATTTTTAACAACTAATATTACAAGTTGAGACTCATTTATATACTTTTAATAAACAATGTTGCTTCATTATCGAACAAGTAAGCAGTTCAGCAATCAATATATTAATTGACAGAAATTAAGATCATGTTTGATCACGATATGTTTAAGATGTTCTGCTAATCTTACCGCCCATAAATGTGGCTATCAGTTTTCGGACAATAGAGGAAGAAGTCTTCGCCGCGTAGCGCCATGATCTGTTCTTGAGTGGGAGGTGGGGGTGGCTTTTCGGGTGGAACTGGCAGTTGAGCAGGCGGCTGGGTAAGAAAAAGGAAAATTTAAGGAATGAAACAAATTTATATGGATATTATCTCGTTAATATATAGTTTACAATAATCTGCCTAAATAGGCATTACGTCAGCACATTTTACCCTTTATTTTGTAGTTTAAGAATAAATACATATACATCAAATAACTATCATCTCAACACCCCAATTTTTTTTATAGGATAAGGGTGACAAACGAGCAACACAGTCCACCTGATGGTAAGTGGTTGCTGCGGCCCATAGACATCTACATCTATCCTCGTTTGCGAATCAAAATGCAGATGCGTTGTCACCCGTGAGGACTAAGATGGAATGCCTCATTTCCAGTAAAAAGGGCCTCCGGCCACCTGCACTCACCAAACGAAACGCAGAGGTAAACCTCTTAATTTACGATGTTATTTAACATTATAGAAGCCGGATATTTTCAACACTAAATGATTCACAATGATGGATAAAATTTTGATTTCTTATATTTACGCGAAGACTACACATTAAATGAAACTAATTTTTACGGATTTTATCGCGTTTAACTTATTAAATCCCGACGTATACGACGTAATAATATTCAAAAATTTAACGTAGCCGGGCTAACTATGATATCGGTACGTCAAACACCTCAGTTCCCCCCGTGACCATGGGTACAGTACCCGAAACATCGAGATTTAAAAATTTTAATTAAACGCGATAAAATCCGTAAAAATTAGTTTCATTTAATGGATAAAATTATCTTTAACTGGTTTTTACCCCCGGCTCCGCTAGTGTTTAATTTAAAACCTACAAGTAGAAGGTCTAAAAAAATATTTAAAAAAAACCAAGCCAAGCGTGGCAACCATGGCAAATGTCCTTCTTATGTGGCAATCTATAGAGAAGCCTGTCTTCAGTAGTGAACTTTGTCGAGAGACAAACACATCTATTGACTTCCTTCATTTCTTACCAACAGTGCGATTGTGTAATTCTGGCAGGAATCGTAGTTGATTACGTTTTGACTTTTATCGTTTCATCATTATCATCATTACGAGTCCACTGCTGAACATAAGCGTCCTCCAATGAATGCCACAAAGCACAGTCGTAAGCCAGCTGCATCGACTATGCATCTCATACCAGATCGTCACCTACTGATACGAGCCTGCCACCCGAGAAACTTTCTTCCTCATTAGTTGTCGGTCCTTTGAGCCATATGGCAGACCCATTACCACTTCAGCTTACTGATCCGCTATGTCGGAAAGTCTGATTCTACTGTTGCTATTCTTATTACAACAACTTCATCTTACTGATCCGTTACACTATGTCGGAAGCTCTGGTTCTACTGTTGATATTCTTAGTATAAAGAGAACCGTAGACTTTTTTTCTGAAACGAAGTGTTCCATCTTAGTCCTCAGGGATAACACCGCATCTGTAGTTTGATTCTCAATCAGGAATACACGTGTCTATGAGATACAGCATCCACTTAGCATTAGGTGGACTATCAGTTCGTTTGTCAACTTCACTTTTATTAAAAATAAACCTTACATTAAAAATAAATATTTCATACATTTCTTACACATTTTATAATACACAATCAAGGTTAAATAAGCTTTTAAGAAAAATATACCTCTTTAGGCATTTTCTGGTAAAACTCTCTGACTTTTGTTCTGGCCGTTGCCCGCGATGTTGCCAAGCTCACTGCACTCAGGGAACATTGAGGGTATTGTCCCTGTAAAAAAAAACATTGTAAATTTATTGTCCCTGTAAAAAAAAGATGTTATAAATTTAAGCCTTAAATGAAAAAATAAAAATAATAATAAACAAAGTTAAATCATTGCTATTTTAAATTGACTGGTTAAATATCGAAAACAAAATATGCTATAAAAGCATTTAGAAAATTTACTTCGCAAATATCCGCGTTATAAAATAAAATGATGTATCTTACCTAGTATGGTGTTGGGAGTAGCGGTGCTGGGATTAGTGGTGACGGGGATAGTGCACGCAATTGAGGGAGGGCGGGAGGTGCTCTTCATACTAGGTAAGACACATCATTTTATTTTATAACGCGGATATTTGCGAAGTAAATTTTTCTAAAAGCTTTTATATAGTGGATTTCCGCAAAGTAACGCCTGATTCTATTAATTATATTAAAAAATGCTATATATTTTAAATCATCTTATCCCCAAAGTGTGTGACAAACGGACGTATGTTACCAGGTATTTTAGTATTTGAAGTCGTATTGCCCTTTGCGAACCTTTAACCTATCCAAAGAATCAATCCGTAGAGAGCGACATTTGAAGCATTTTTACATAATTATCATAGTTCTGTTTTACTATGTAATTGGTGGCGCTGTTTGGCTGCTAGTTCAAATCCCACACGGCTTCTTACATGTATGTAAAGTCTAGCAAGTCTCGTATCTAAGCTATTTGTAGATTTTGATGATTGATGTTCCGAAATTAAAAATATCCAATGCACCCATTTAAAATTATGTTTTTAAGATATTAAAAAATTAAATATGTAATCAAAAATAATCGAATAGGTCCCAACAGTGGACATTAAACTTAAAATTCTAACAAAATGTTACCTCTTTTATCTTCTTTTCTATGAGCGCATTAATGTTTAAGCTCTCCCATTCGCTCTGGCAGTGGATTTTCAGAGCTTTTAAATCTAATTCGTAGTTAGGTTCTCGGATCAAAGGTTCTTTTTGGACAACCTGCAAACAGTAAAAATAATAACAATATCTTCATATAGTTTTAATTATTCCTTCAATTGCTTCGTCTTTTGTAATGCGTACAGCAAAGGAGTGGAATCATTTACCGACGTCTTTCCATCCGTATACAATCTGGGCGTCATCAAGGCAAGAGTGAATAGGCTTTTAACATATTACACAGTATAAAAGTGCAAAGAGGAAATTTGTATCAAAGGAATATCTGTGGAATTTTTGTCTGCTCCACTATACAAACCAACAATAAGCAACCAAGGTTAATAAAAGCAAGCATTTTATAGTTAGGCAATTAGTATATCAGAGTAGATCTTTATTATTTCTGCCGTAAAATAATATGCGATAAAATCCGTAAAATTAGTTTTTATTTTTATAAAATAGGGTGACAAACGAGCTGTGACCCATAGACATCTACATCTATCCTCAATAAAGAATCAAAATGCAGATGCGTTGTCATCCGTGAGAACCAAGATGAATGCCTTGTTTCCAGTAAAAAGGGTCTCCGGTTCTCTACACTCACCATACGAAACACAGCAGCGTTAAGCTGCTATTTTACGCTGGTGTTCTGTGAAAGCGTGGTCCTTCCCCGGACTAGCCGACGCATTCGTGCTACAACTATACTACTAATATAGCTGCAGCATAGCTCTATCAACGTATATAGTATATAGCTTTATTCAATGTCTAGTATTTGTGTTAATAAAAAAAATCACAGCATTGCGTGCATTGCTGTGATGATTATTAATGTTAAAAGTATAGACAATCGGTATAACTACAGGCATGACAACCGTAACCCTTTTTGTATGCAGTTGCATGCTGCAGACGTCCATGTACTGCAGTAGCCACTTACCATAATCATGTATACCTTAAGTTTGTTTTTCACTTCAGTGTTATAAAAAAACACGCATAATGTTGAGAACAGCCCTAGCACAAATTTATTTAACAATGAACTTTCGATTGTCTGTCATTGAAAAAGTTGGCTAGAGACGTCCGTGGTCTGCAGTGGCTAACTCACCATTAAACAGTCTTCTCGTTTATTACTTTTGACAAAATAAAAAATGAGATTATAAGCTCTAAAAATCTAAAGTAGAATTGCAAAATTGATCATATGGGTGATCTTACCTCTATATTGGTCAGGGTTATAGGCGGTTTAGGGGTCCCCTTTTTTGCTGCATCTAGATCTCCGTAGTTCGCGAGAAAGTCTAGAACGAAACACGTTACACCAGCGTAGCGTAAAAATGCTCCAGCTCCGTACCTGCGCGACAATCATATCGTTATTTTTCGATAATAGCACAGAGACAAAAGAATCAATAATAGCAGGAGAGGTTCGATTCCCGTGTAGGCGAAGCCTTACAAATAATTCCGAATTTGCTAAACATATGCTTTTTCTTTAAGTTGAAAGTAAGAAGATTGGTTTAGGATGTGTTAACTTCACGTCACTAATTTTGCTCTTAATTTTAGTATCTTGATCTTTATCTTGACGGTAATTGCAAGAAGATATGACATGTTTGTCACCTCAGTTTTAGAAAAAAAGTTCTGCCGCCTTTTGCTTTAGGCTACCGAGTTTCTCTGCTAATAGTCTTGCATTTTTATGCAATGATGATGGACACTTAATGACAAATGAAAAAAAATCCAATGAGGTTTTATATATTACTATACTTACTATATTACTAAGGACAGTAAGATTGTCTCAGAACTAAATCAAGCATTAATTTGTTTGGATTATATTAAGTAGTCAAGTACTGGCACTTATAACAAGTAAAAAAATGTTTTGTCACCCTTATCCTATAAAAAAAACTATCAGAAGCCATGATATCTTTCTGACATTGCCCTTAGTCGTCTCCAACGACAACCACGTGATGAAATTGGGTGCTGGGTGGATCTTCTTATGCCGCCACCAAATGGCTCCCTTATATTATAAACTTTTGAAAAAGCCGTGGTAGCTTAGGAGTTTAGCACTCGCTGTAAATTTCACAGTACGCGAGCAACCAGATTTCGATCTCCGCCGGCACCAATGAAATTGGTAATTGCAATTTTGAATGCTGATTTACCACGAGCTCGGCGGCGAAGGAAAACATCATGAGGAAACTGCATGACTGAGAAAAAACATATTTCGAGACATGTGAAGTCCGTCAACATGCATTGTGGCAGTGCGGTGGACACATCCTTGCCCTAAAACCCTCTCAGAAGTGAGAGTAGGCATGTGTCCACTAGTGGGACGTATATAGGCTGTAACTTTAACTTTAAAGGTGTCTTTTAAGCCCGCTCCTTCTGCACAAGTTAATGACACGTCAGTGGCGATCTAACACCTAACACTAAATTTTTTCCTAACAGGAGAATAAAGCAAAGGGCAGTGACAATAGATTAATAGTAGAATATTTATTACAATATAGAAAAGAAAACTTACACAGAATTCGGCTGCCCCAGCTCGTTCAACATATGCGGGTCGAATATATAACATACGGTTTTCACATTACTTTCAGCTTCGGGTGGTGGAGGATGACCCCAGATAAGGAAGTGCTTGTCCTCGCCAATAGTCAAAATCATCATGTATGTTGTTCCGGCGTACTTCTCCATTAATCTAGTGAAAATATTAAAAAAATATATATAATCTACCAGAGGTTGTCTACAATGAGAGAAGCTACGTCCATCTGTGTGTCCATTTTTACGTAATGATTAAGATCAAGTTGCGACAGTTCGGTTTAAGGGTCGGTTTATACACATTTTATATCAGATAACACATTAACGTTTCACCACCCGATCACTTCTCACTGGTTATTTCTCTAATATCCTTATATAACATATGCATGTAATAAACAAAAACCTTTCATAAGAAATTATTTAATTGAGAGAGATCGATTAAAGAATTTCTTAATTAAAACGACATCAAAATCAATCAAATGGTTTTAAAAGTTTTAAGAAATTAGATAAAAATAAGGGGCTAAATAATATCATTTAGTAAAACTGAAGCCACACAAAGTGTTGCGACGGCAACACGATGGCACACCGCAAGTATATCGCCAGATTAAATCACACGGCCGATGCTATGGATTTAGCGCGATAAAAGCTAAAATATAGACCTATAATCCGCTAGCTATGGTCTAGAAGTGCTAAGTTTGTTGCGTAGCCACTCCGACGCACCGCGGTGGAAACACCAGCTATAAAACACTGCACTGCATTGCACCACATAATGTACCATGCCAAAGATTTTTAATGTTTTATAATTGGTAAAATTGGAAAGGGTCAGCTCGACCGACGAAAGACTAACTCTTACAGACTACCAACGTAAAATAGTAGCAGTAGTGTAGTTGTACCACTTCTAGACCACCTGAGTCAGACGTGGTTCAACGACGTTCGTCGACTCACGATCCTAAAAAAAAAAAAAAAAAAGTTTTGGCATGCTCTGATCACGAATCCGCGGTCATTTTTGTGTAGAATGCACGGTTCCGGAGATGTGTAGATCAATTAGCTAATATCTAATTGATATCCGGTAAGGGCCTCCACCGTCATTAGCGTCCTATTGTTCCTATTTCTATTGTTCTATTGTTCATTAATCACCTTCATTGCAGCGTGTGCGTCGACTATATCAGTGCTATTGTATTATACTTCTTTGTTCCTAATTATACAACGCTAATCTGAATCATCAATAAAACACATTACATAATTTTGTTACAATTTTTATTTATAAAATACAAAATCTTATTACTTATTATCTATAAAATAGGAGCGAAACATCTCATCCACTAAAATATCGTTGTACAATGTGTTCCTTGTAAATATACTCGTAAAACTATGTATTGAACATCCTTGAAACTTATATAGCAAATACATTAAGCAATATTCGCCACAAACTGAAGTCCACTCATTCTGAATCCTATCAACATTCCAGTTCCATCTTTTACAATTTCTTTTTAAAAACTCTAGATGATATCGTACAGGTGATCGTCCATATGAATCAAAATATTGACCGACGTCATTCGTATATATATAAAGCTACCCAATGTGACCCTGGTTTATCATCTGTATCCAAATTACATATTATATACGTTGGTACGTGGGTATACATAGGCAGTCTATTAGCTGCATAAACATTATTTTCTAGACTGGGGTGAATCTTTTTCAGATGTTGTTGTACATCTAGTGTATCCATGATATTACTGCTATTAGTAGATTATTACTGTAATGTCCTTGCTATTCAGGGAATACGGGGAACGTTTATTTAAACACACTGAACCCGTAAACGATCATTTATTCACACAACACAGGGTAGCCGTAGAAAACGTTATTATTATCTACCGACACAATATGCTACATCCCTCCACACTTAGATTACAACGTAACATACAATATATAAGCAGTTAGAACAAATGCTTAAGTAGTATACCTAATTAATGATTAAGTACCACATTTTTATTTGGGAAGCAAACAACTATGCTTTATGTATAATTGATGGACATATTGCGCTTACACAATTTTAGCATAAAAAAATCAAAAACACATATACTACAATACATACATTGTTTTATGTATAATAAAAAAATGACATTAATCACTCGACTTTAACACCTCTCCTCTACGTTTATTAAGAATACACAAAAAAAACAATTATAAACAAAACAAATGTTTACATTAGATTTAGTAAGTATAAATATTATAGAACTAAGCGTTTAGGTGGTTTAATAGCGCGGCCAGATCGAGTGCGCATGGCCGTGGAGGTTTGAGGCGGTGGGGACACGTCTCCCATGTCAGACTCCGCGTGAGTCAGCACCGGTGCCGCCTCACCGCCGTCAGGTCCCGGTGGTTGTGCGGCTAGCGCACCACCTGGGCTATTGAGAGGTAATGATGCAGGTGTATCATGAGAGGCACTGGGACCTGCCGTGCTCCCAACGTCCATATCCTCAAACGTCCACGCCGCTTCACCACGACTGCTGTTATATGATTTGGCTGACATTAACTGATTCACATGACGTCTCCAAATGATATCGGATCTCTGTATCGCCACATCATATAGAACTTTACCTAAGCGTGCAACGACCTGGCCAAGGATCCATGTTGGTCTTTTGGGATTGGCTCGATAGTCTCGTACCCAAACTTTCTCCCCAATCGAAAATGCTTTAATTTTACCACCAAAATATAATTTTTGACGATTTTGATTCACTAACACATTTTTATGTATTAGAGGTTTTCGATCTAAATTTGAACGCTTAACAGCGATTAAATCAAGTTTACAACGTAAATTCCGACCGAACATAAGCGATGCAGGTGATACTCCCGTCGTACAATGCGGTGTATTCCGATAGTGAAACAAATAGTTATCTAAGTGATTAGCGAAGTCTTTAAAACCACAATCCTTGATAGCGTTCACAATAAACCGCTTACAAGTCTTTACTGCGTTCTCGGCGAGTCCATTACTCTGTGGCGAGTACGCAGGAGATAAAATGTGAGTTATGCCATTATCAGTACAGTACTTAAAAAATTCAGACGAAACAAAGGTTTTGGCATTGTCTGTGACTATTTTATTGGGAATGCCGAAACGTGAAAAAATTTTTTTAAATTTATTGATAAGTTCTTTTGATAAAAAATTTGACATTAATTCGCATTCATTCCATTTACTATGCGCATCGACTAGTACAAGAAAAATCTTCCCATGAATTGGGCCGAGGTAATCTAAATGGATTCTTTCGAAAACAGAGTCAGGCCACCCCCACGACTCCAAGCGCGCTTTCGCAGGAGATGGTCGCAAGGATATGCAACGACCACAGTTAGAAGCCATGTTTTCTATGTCACTGTCGATACCCGGGTACCAACAGCGTTCTCTAGCAATCATTTTCATTTTAATTACTCCTAAGTGCGCAGCATGCAGTTCTTGTAGCACAGCAGCCCTATAAACAGTAGGCACTACAATTCTGTGACCTCTCATGAGAACTCCGCTATCAACATATAATTCATGCTGGCATCTATTATATGGCAAAAGTTCTGATGACACTTTCCGTGGCCACGATTTGGTCACATATTGCATGACAAGTGACAGAACTTTATCTTTATGAAAAGCGGCCCGCAGCTCGTCTAATGAAGCGGGCAGTGGCGCGCCAGCAGCCGCTAGCGCGTTAACATAACTGGTGACGTCATCTATGTGCGCCGTATCCTGCGACGAATCACAATCAATGGGAAACCGACTCAAATAATCAGCTACATTAGATTCACTATTAATGAACTCAATTTTATAATTATAGGCAGCAAGAAATAAAGCATACCGTTGCAGTCTCGCTTCGGACATATGAGGAACTCCTTTATCGGGGGAGAAAATAGAAAGGAGGGCCTTGTGGTCTGTTCTCAAAATAAATGGTTGCTGGCGGCCATAAAGATATTGATGGAATTTTTTGATTCCATAAATAATGGCAGTCGCTTCTTTCATAATTTGACTATAGCCACGCTCACTTTTAGTGAGAGCACGCGAAGCGTAACTGATCGGGCGCTCGGCACCCGCGGGGTAGCGCACCGCGAGCACCGCGCCTAGCCCGCCGGGGGCCGCATCCACTGTCAGAACCAGCTGCTGCCGCGGGTCAAAATGCGCCAGTACGCGACTTGAACATAACTCGTCTTTGATAGCATCGAATGATTTCTGATGTTCCGCCGTCCATTCCCATTTCATATTTTTTCGCAGTAAATTATGTAATGGTTCAAGAATGACCGCCGCTTGCGGTATAAAGCTACGGTAAAAGTTAACTAAACCCAAAAATGATTTTAATTGTCGGACGTTTCCTGGCACCCTTGCCTGTGTAATAGCCTTTATTTTATCCGGATTTTTATGAAGGCCAAAACGATCAATAACAAAACCCAAATATTCTATTTTATTTTGGAAGAATGAACATTTCGAGCGCTGGAGCATTAGCCCGGCGTCTCTTAGACGATTTAGTACCAAATCGACACGTTCCCAATGTAATTCGGCGGTCGGAGCCGCGATTAACAAGTCGTCGAGGAAACACTCCACGCCATCTATGCCCTGCAACAGTTGCACCATAGCACGCTGGAACAAAGCTGGCGCATTTGACAAACCGAACACTAATCTTGTATAAACAAAAAGACCTTTATGCGTATTGATACATGTATATTTTTGTGACTCATCATCTAGAAGGAACTGATTATAACTATTTGATAAATCAAGCCTACTAAAGTAACGACAATCGTGTAACGATGCACATAACTCACTTATTTTGGGCAATGGATAAGAGTCAATTATTAGGGCCTTATTGATCGTCATAGAATAATCGCCGCAAATACGTACGTCATTATTTTTCTTTAATACTGCAACAATCGGTGACGCGTAATTAGAATAAGAAACCGGTTTGAGTATGCCAGCGCGCACTAATCGGTCCAACTCTGCGCTTACCTTATCTTTGAGCGCAAAAGGCACCGGCCTAGCTTTAAAAAATTTTGGTGTGACACCTTCTTTTAAGTGTAGCGTTAACTTATATTTATTGAACGTGCCCAACCCACCAGAAAATAATGTTTTATATTTCGACAAAATAAATTTTTCTTTATCTACTGAACAATAATTTAATGAGATAAAAGCGAAATTAA